GCCCCAAAGTGGTGTACCTGCGTTGGAAGTTGCCATTTATTGTGAAGACATTTCCAATGTGAGTCTGGTTACATGTGCAAAAGTTGTTTGTATAGGTAAGACAGCTCCCCTCGATGTATTGGATGTCCTGGATACAAAAAGTCTTGCAAGGTGAACCACTTGTGATGCTATTATCTGTCTTTGTCAATCATATTCTTGATTGAAGTTTGGTGCCATTTAACAAGATGAGCTTGGGCAAGGGGCCATAAGTTACAATACTTGGACTATACTACATTTTCCGGGTTTCTGATGTCCTCAAAAGCACATTTTAAGTCACTACCAGAATGCACTCTTTTCTCCAATTAAGCAATATCGCAGCAATTCCAATACCGGCTATAATTTCAACTATATGTTGCATACCCTGCGCAGAGCATCCATAGTGAAGGGAACACTACACAACATGTCAAGGCTTTAGTCTCTCCACTTATAAATAGTGTAGTACAATGAACTAGTCAGCCTCAGTTCAATTACATAACTTCCAAGTCTGATTGAATATGGTGTTTGACCTTTAATTTTTTTCAAATAGCTGTCTTCCATTCTGCCAACATGCATTCATCAGACATTGGGCCGTATAAGCTAGAAGGGCTTGTCTGAGATCCTCAAAACCCTAGTGGCAGCATTGGGCTTGTTCATGACTGGGTCAAGAGAGAAATATTTTTCTCCTGTTTAGCCTTTGGGGCCTCTTCACAAAGTTTTGTAAGGTGAGAAAAGATGCTGTTCAAAATACCATTGTATTGCCCAGGGCAGGCAGTCTATTTGTGCCCTGCCCCAAAGTATGCTTCAAATTCAAAGTGATGGGGCTCGTACCACATTGGTTTATAAGTCTTCTCCAGGGGCCACGTGTCCTTTGCACCTGAACTTTTTTGACAAATTGATGATATGCTCCAAAACCATGTAGCCTGGACATATCAAATAACCTGCGCAATTTACCACTTGAAAGCAGTAGGTCATTACTTGAGCCTCATCCATGCATTGATTCATCTCACATGTCTACCCATTTGTGAATGTACTTGATATAAGCAGATATGTCCAAAAAGTATTTGCTACATCTATGCTTGAAGTAACATAACATAACAAAACAGCATCAGGCGAAAATAATTCTTCAAAAAGGTAGACAGACCAGTTAATCCTGACTCCTTTTCACATAACAATGAATAATTCACTGCAAAAGGTGACTACAAGTCATTGTGGTCCCCACAAGCAAAGTCATTGCACCCATACAAGTTTTTTGCCTGGTTGCACATGCCAGTCTGCCGCATGTCCCATGCAATTTAATGCTCCAGACTGGGGTTCCTGCAGTCTTAGTTTGGTACAGGATCACCTCAACTCTGTTGTGTGATTGTGGTTAGTATATGGAACCAACATTGCACACACCTGAGATTTTTTCTGGTGTGGTGTGGATCCATGAAATGTGTGAAATAAAGGATATTCAGAAAGGATGACATATTAGACAAAAAAACTTACTCCAACCAAAGATGATTCTCATTTTACAAATTAACAAGACATGATTATAACACAAGACACATCCTTGATTAAACCCAATAACACCATCAAAAGACATATCAAGAAGCAGGTTCAGATGTATCTATCACAATGGAATGTTGGGATGAAGAGAATGAGCATAGTTGACTTCACCAGATGTTGGTTTCTCCATGAGATTGTCCTTCAAATATTCAAGAGATCGGAAACTGAAGGACAATTTCTTGATCAATGAATGTAAGGACAAGTTTGAGAACTTAACAAGTCTAAACAAGCGTACCAACTCAACTCTTTCTGGAAGGGAATATCATCAGTAGTTTGCAAACTTGAATAAACTTTGGAAGGCTTGAAACAGATTTCATGGTCTCAATCAAATTTGAGGAGTTTGATGATAAAGGCAATGTTGGTTTAGTTAATTTACCAGAAATTTCTCAACCCCCGTTCAAAGCAAAAACTCAGAGGTGATTTTGGTCATTTTTGCATAGTCTATCTCTGTATTAAAATGAGATGAAATGTCAACCTGTGGTGATTGGACGAAATGAATACTCCACCTTGGATGTTTCAGTTGGAAAAGTGCTCTGCATCTAGCAAGACCTCAACCACAGTAAAATAAATTGAAGGATGGGATTCTCACAGTCCTTGTATAGGTCAGTGTCTGTTTGATCAATGGTCATAAACCAGATCATATTTTTCTGCAGGCTCTTTGAAGATATCATGTGCTTTTTTCTCTTGCTCCCGCTTCATTTGCCTTGCCAAGTGTATTAACTGTATGGACTATATTCTCAACAACTGCCCTGTGCCTATGGTGTGCCTGTATGGTCATATCTGCTTGACCCATAACATGGAATTTCTATTGACTTGCTATTGCAATAATTTGGGTATTGCTCCAGACTTGCTCTCCAGCTTTTATCCGCCCTTTAATTCATAGCTACACTTATTGCTGCTTCATTGATGTGCCCTATTCAGATGATATGTGATGCAATTTTTTTTCAACCAAATAGCTAAGTAATCAATCTTGCTTGCAAAGCACACAATTTAAGTGCACCCCACCATGTACTCATGTACTGAGGTGAATAACTTCTGTTGTTTGCAGTCAAGGACCGGCAAGCAGGGCTGCGGCACACATTGAACCATCAAGGACAAAGTCCTGAAACATCACATCCTGATCTGAAGCTGTATTTGAGAGACAATATGTGCGTCAACAAATGCCAGATGTCTTGCAAGCCATGATGCAAAATAAGATTTTCCCAATGTTACTCACAGTATCCAGCTAAAGCAGCATTTAGAGCAATGGAGCAAGATATCAAAAGAAGAATTTTGTATCTAAAAGGTAAAATTTCTCCCAAAAAGGCTGTGCAAGTACAAATAGTCAATGAAAAAACTTCTATCTGTAGATTTCAGATTCAATAAGTGTGTCAGCTGAGCTGTGGAGCCTTTCACTGCAAAGATAATATATTTTTCCATGGTGAAAAATGATTGAAACCAGCAATTGAAATGGCATGCTTCATATTGGTCCAAAAAATCTGAAAAAATCAGGTAAGTAAAATTGTGCGATTTTCTCTCTGGCGGGAGATTTTGGCGGATATAGAAAAATTCTAGCACTCTGTTTGGTGATTTCCCAGATTTTTCGGCAAGATAGACAGAAATGCAGAACTTGCGCACTCATTTAAGCCTCCAAAATTAACGCAAACAAGCCAGAAAAAAAATCATAAGTGAAGGACAGCATTCCCTTTGTTGAACGTTTTTTTTGAGATCATGCTGGCTCAGTATGTATACCATCACATTTGTATTGTTGAAACTATATATATTATGCTGACATATGTACAAGGCTCCAAAACCATCCAGAAAAAAATTTGCAACACAACAAAGGATGTGCCATTATGTGGAAAAAAATTCAGGATAATCCGTCCACATTTGATACATTGGTGACTCAAAATACATTCACAATTTATTTGGAAAACAGAGAACAACTTTTGGTGTTATACCTTGCATATATCCAAGACAAAGGCACCAAAAAATACAAAAAAATCACCAAACATTACAAAGGGCATTTTTGATCTGTCCGGATTTTTCTGGATTTTTTGAACTGCTGTGAGCTTTCAGAAACCAGAAAGAGTATCAGGAATTGCTTGCTGAGTTACTTCTGAGTAAAACACTCTAAGCAGCTTGAAAAAAACGTTCAAGGACAAACAGCATTGTATCTCTCTGCAATCCGTTTTCCAAGAACTTTGGGCTAAAACTGGGCCCTAAATTTCAGAAATGGTTTTTTGTCAATCGTTTTAAAATAAATGCAATCATTTTTCACCACGGAAAAATATATTATCTTTGCAGTGTTTGTAAGTGAATGAGTGAATGATATCAGGGCATTACACAGGTGCCACAAGGTTGTTGCAATTCCTGGGTGTCAAGACCTGGAGCTATTCCAAAAGCTGTGTGTTACCAGATTGACTTACACTGAGCAGTGATGCCAGAGCTGAGGATGATATGTCCTGTGGATTCTCATTCGCAAGGCAAGAATTACCTAAACTTGCTTTTACTGGCTTTTCCTTGGTGCTGTCAGTTGCTATCAGCTGTAAAATTTGGTGAACACAATCCCCAAAATGCACTGCTGTTGGAGGGTACAGCCCTGGGATTGCCACCAACATGTCAGATCACCTGGGATGTTGATACTGATCAATTAGGGTGTGTTCACTTGAGGAAGTTCTGACCAAAAATCACATTCTGTCAACTTTTTAAAGCAAAAATGAGACATGCAGCACCAAATAGACATTTTGAATTTTGCAGAATGTGATTTCTCACCCAAAATTGCTTAGATGAACACACCCTAAGACACCAAAATACCAGCAGTGTTCTGAAAAACACAGTGTGGTTATTCAACGCTTCATGTTCACCATAAGGTCCCAACTCACTCAAAGAAAACCTTCTGGTGTTCTGGTAAAAAACCCTTCTGAAAATATCCAGAACAATATTTGATATGATGTGAAGCACTACAAAAATAGTAATATTTTCCCCCGAGTTTAGAAAAGTGAAGTTACAGATAGCCCATTGATTATCTCAACTATCTGAAGATAACATAAAACCCAAAGTAACATCAGTCGTGATCCAGAGGGAATTGTCTACACGCTCATCATGTTTGTTAAAATCCTGTATGATGTAGCGTGGTAGAATTTTGTGGATGTACAGGAAAAAATCTGAAAAAATCAAGTCTGTGAAGAATCACGCAAAAAATGTGTTGGGTTTTTGGGCAAATCTTCATCATCTCTTCTCAATTTATCTCTCAACAATAACAAACATCAGGCAAATTTCTTTGTTTTCAAAGATAGAGCTGGGATGTTACATTTCTTTGAACTAGGAAAATCAAAATCCGGAATACATCACAAAAACTTCATCTTCAGTAGGTTGTGTTCTAGTTTACGTGATGGTCATCAAATAAGGTTGTTGAGAATACAATCAGGAGTCAAAGTTTGTGCCTTCTGCAAGATTCACTCTTCATCTTGATCTTGTCCAGGATCTTGATATTCTTCTGAGCCGTCCTCATTCTCCTCATTCCCCTTGTCGTCCTTGTCCATATCTATTAGTCTCTCAAGCATCCCCTCAGGAAGGAAGATATCCCAACAATCCATGTCTAACTGGGTTCAGATCTTGGTAGTCTGATCTTGAAGGTCAGTGTTTTGCTCCTCTATCATGCCACTGAGTTTGTTGCACTTTTGCTTCAAGATATCATTGGAGGCTTTGAGTGATTGAATCCTACAATATGCATATGAGTATACATCAGCTGAAGAGAATCCATCTTGTATGACGCTGCAGAACATGCTTACCTTGTTCTTTGACTTTGCACCTTGATCAAAAAAGATCAATATTCAAGCTTTCAAGCTTTCCAAGAACCTTCTGGGATTCTTCAAGCTGCAGAACTGGATAAACAATGCACAAACATGAGCAAGTGGAAGTGTGAAAGAGGAGAATGAATACTCACAACGGTCTTCACATCACCTTTCTTCTAAGAACACATCAGCTCCTGATTTGATCTTTCCAGACGCTGGAGTTGGAGATATTGCAAGAATGTCTTTTCCTATCACTGATCAGACAATCAAAGACATCTCAGCTGATAAACATCAAAAAGAGACAAATATCTCCTCACCAATATTTTCTGAATGCATACATTTGTGATTCCAGAACTGAATAAGATCCGCCTTGAGTTCAGGAGTGTTTGTATCTTGTGGTTGATTGGAAGCTGTGCAGTGTTTGCCACTGTCCGAATTCAGTCTAGCTGCTTTCTCATTAACTTTTCCTTCGTGATTAGGCAGGACAAAGCTCCAGGTGAATGCAAGGGAGCTCTTAATTAGATCTTGAAGATCCTGATCCTCATGCTTGATGAAACCGTGTGATACCCGTGTATGTTGTCCAAGGAAATTTGAGCCTGGTGGGTCAATATCCATGTGAATTGCAGCGCCAGCTGGAGATGGAGGCGTGTTAATTGATGGCACTGGATGGGTAACCTAGAGCCCCATATACATGGTATTTCCATGGAATTGCGGGCAAAAAGAACAAGAAGACTAACTTTTTTTTTCTTAGAAGACTTCGAGCCTCTGCCACAGGCTTTGGATCCTTTCAAAATGTTGATTATAAGTATACATGTCTTCATGAGCTTTGCAAACAATCTTCAAAACTTATTTGTGAAATACATACCCTGTTCCTTATCTTTTGGAATTCTCTTTGCCTCACAAGGGGCACTTCACTTTCCCAGGAGTCTTGATGAGTGTAATTGGGGTTGACTGACTGGAGGGTTTGATGTCTTGAAAGAGCTCGGGGTTGCGGTCGGGTCAAAGACCATTTGTGATCATTTCATCAAACTCCTGAGACAACATGTGCATAGAAAAAGGGTCAAGGTGGATGGTGGTCTTTCCATTCCAGCACTGCGTTCGCAGACCATCTCAAAAGAAGTTGATCAAAACGTGCTGTCAAAAGAAATAGATGTTGTAGCCTCGATACCGGATGTAGCCATCCCTCAGGTCGGACGCAGCTGTCTGAAATTCTCAGAGATGTCGGGCTTGATTTTCATGATGCTGATAAGGACGAGCTGGTCAAGCAATGTAAGATATAAAATGATCTGAGTGAGTTCATATTCTTTAGAATTGTGATTGAATGAAGTATGATATAATTGACATGAGGAGCCTCACTTCGTTCAGTCATACCTCCGGCATTGAAGGACACACCTGATCTACCAGGGCCTGCGCCAACACTCAAAGCCTTCACGTTTCAAAGCAAAAGACATTGTCAGTGTTAGTGTATTCCTGAATATTTTATTCTGAACTTTGTTTCCATTGAATGGTGAGGGTTTCTGCTGACTGAGTGACTAATTGGAAAACAATTCAGCCTCCACCTCTACATGATCTCACTTCCCAGTGTCAATTACAATGTCGATCCACCACTGAGTACATCTGCTCACTCATCATCAAATCCATCTTGGCATATAATTCCGAACAAACAAGATATTCCTCCTCTGAATACTAGCTCCTCTAGTAATATGCACAATCCCATAATTGTACATTCATCTGCCGTTCAATCCAAGCCAACAGTGTGTGTTTTGGCTCTGGTGACTCCTTCAACATCAAGCAAGTTGAAGAAACGTGGCAAAAAGAAGGAAATTCTTGAAAGTGACTTGATTCCTACTCAAAACAAACAAAGCAAGAATCACAGCAAGGGAGATGAATCTTTTGTCCCCAATATGAGTACAGGTGATTCTGAAATGGGTCACGACTACTCCATTCCCTCTCCACTATCTTTTGATCTGAAAAACAAGATGCCCGAGGAAAGTCCAAAATCAGACGTCCCTTTATCTACCAAGTGGCTTTCAGAAATGTTTGGTGAAGTTTTCAAAAATCAGTCATTAGCGAGTGCTCAGGCTTCCAAAACCGCGGCCGCCGTGGAAGCAATAAGCAAAATTGTCAAGAAGACTTACTCAAATGTTGAAGACATATGTACCAAGCTGTTTATCCCAAGTTTTTCAAAAGCTTGTGAACAAATCAGGTATAGCTGTACCGCCAAAAATGCAGGAGGGGCGGAACACGGTAAGTATTACTGTCTCTTGAGGATCATGAGGCAGGACACAGTTACTGATCACTTTCTATGTATCAATTTTTAAGGCACACATACGGTTTCACATTGAAACTCTTCGGGGTCAATCCGACGCAGAGACTACACTCCCTTCTCCTGCAACTACTGCGGATAAGCAATCCTGGATGAAATGTATAGACCTTGACAAAATGAATGTTGATCTAGAGGACTCCAGCAATCTGTCCAGTCACAATAATCCCAAATTCCCGTACAAAGACGGTCCTGGTCATAAGGATTCATCCCCTCAACAACTGTCTATCATGTGGAAGATGGTGAATGCAGTCGGTTTAGAAAGCTTTTGTCCCAATTTCTCACTCTTGAAGTCGGATCCAGACAACACGTGGCTCTGAGATCTTTGGAGTCCGAAAATCGGCTTCTCATACAGAAATGTTTTGCTACCCATGTGAAATCTCTGTCCAAAAGGTACATTCATATCTTCTCTCTTGAAAGGCTTGCTTATCCTTAAATGTCTACTCAATTTAATGCAGATTTCGTCAGGAAGCATTGGATACAGAACAGAAGAATGGCATTGCAACAGATGCCAGAAGAGGCTCGAGACACTGTCATGTAAGTTCTACTTTTTTTACCAATTTAACAAAGGTGATTGAATTATGGATTGAGCCCATAGCTTCAAACATTGCATGAACGTGTTGTTCTGTCAAGAGCAGAACTCTTTCCCCTGTCTGAATCAATCAAAGTGGCTTGCAGTGATGACAAGAGAGCGGATGACGCGGCAAACAGTCCTTCAAAATCTGGTGGTACACAATTGCTTGATCCGCAGGCTTCCTTTGTGTAGCTGAGAATTAGAAAATATATTTGTTGGCATTGACTCTTTCCGCAGGAAGATCACTCAAAGCATTCCCAAAAATGCACATGGACATCCGCCCCGGCCTCAAGTGCGATCTGCCAATGGACCTTACAATTGTATCAAAGCACCTACCAGCTTGTCAGTTGATTGCTATTCAAGTGAATGGCTTCTGACACTTTCACCCTAGCACGATGAATGTGATTGAAGTGTGCTTTTCACTGATCTTATTACCAGAAGGATTGATAGCGTTGATAAACAGGCCAAATGTCAGATTGCCACTCTTTGCAGTGAACTGACTTCCACCTGGTCCACGGAATTGTTTCCAAATACAAGATTGGTGAATGTCAGTCACTTCGTCAGATTCATTGAAAGGTCTCAAAGACTCTTCCAGAGATTGGTCAAGCCAATGCTCCACTTGCGGTCGAGATAACAAACATGCAATCCAGTTGGCTAAGTTTTGGAATGCGTATCAACTGATGGGCATCTCTTTCCCTTTCAAAAGGGGCTGACCACAGGTTCTCTTGGCAAACTGTTTGTCATATCCTGGCAATGAAGATCGTTCAAGCTTGTTATCTGAGTCCAAAGCTTTGACAGGACCACCCGAGATACAGGATACAAAGTTCTTCAAGCAAGCACTGGGGTTGTGTGAGAGGACACAGAAGGCAAGATCCTTTGACTATGAGAACGTGCCAGCGCTCGCCTGTCTAGAAGTGCATGAGCTTCTTGTGTTTCTGGTGCGACTTCCACACCGTGTTGAGAGGTTCCGTGAGCATCAATATATTGACCAAGATGGCACTCCCTTGCTTGGCAGCAACAAACTACACAATGTATTATACCATCTTCTTTGGGGCATGGAGGCATGATTTGATGTGGTGTTGTACGGAGCTGGGTAAAACTTCAGACCGTATCCAAAGCCAACGATGATAAGCAAGATAAGGCGGATACAATATCAAGAAAAAACAGACAGAAAATTGATATGTTGGTGTGAAAAAGCTGAAAACACAGGCTCAAAGAGGAGCCTTACAAATAACTGTCTGCATCAACAGATAAGTGCCACAAAAATAACTAATGTTACAATCTACTGATTCCCTGAAACTCCTGGTTCCTTCTACAGTGAAACTCCTTGTACTACAATCTTCAAATCCTATCTATGAAAGCCTATGAAATACGAGGTGGAGTGAAACATAGAATTGTTAGTAAAAATACGTATGACGCAAAACAATACAGAGAAAGACAAAAAGACAAACCTGCACGTAAAAGCGGCAACTCCATTTTATTGACCTAATTGTTTTGATTATAAAGTCCAAGGATCAGGTTATACAATTCTACAATTAAAACAGCAATGATCTGATAGACATGTAAGGATAAGCTCTACTGACCAACTTGATATCAGTCCAAGACTGAATAATGAAATCCACGAACAAGGTGAACCGGAGTATCTTCCTCTTCAAGAACAAACAACATATATATGCTAACCAGAACCTTGTGTGTCATTGGGATAGAATGCACAAACACCTTAGGAGCATAAGCTTGCAAAGTGAGTCGGAGATCTTCCATATCCTCGTCTTTTAAATTTTCCAGTTTAACAACTCGCGGTGTTTGAATAAATTTGGTTTGTCCAGGGATAACAAGATCTGGATCAACATGCGCTTGATAAAGTAGTCTCAAACTGTCAAGCCTGGCGTTTGAAGGTATCTGGGTTTTTGGAGCTTTATCCAGAATGGCATTGTGTAGCATCCTTTGAGTAGTCTTTTGAGGGATTGAAGTCTTTTATAGATTGATCCGGCTGCATCGGAACCGGAGGTGGGGGAAGCTGAAACGGTAAGATGAGTGGCAGTACATCATGCTTGAAAGCTTTGTACAAGACAACTTTTTGACTAGTGACACGGTGCTTAGTCGAAGGGTTGAAATGAAGGAGAATTTGATAAATCATTGGTTTGGTGACTCTGAAAATCTTGCCACCGGGGTCGGAGTGTAAACTTTGGGCAAGAGCTGTGATGTTGGGGATGTTTGGAGGAGGTGAAGTGGTTGAATGACTGTATCAGCAAACAGTTGCTGGTGTTGGTTGACTTCGGGGAGGATCTCCAGACACGGTGTCTGGTTGTGGGGCAGGTTTGTGCTCAGGTGCTGCATCGGATTTTGATGAGTCCTGAGCAGTAGCACTGCTTCTAGTTGTGATAATGTGGAGCGGGGTCTGCGTTGTTGGTGAGTTGGGGTTACTTTTCTTTTCTTTGGCCATACCGGTGACTAGGAGGCTAGAAGGATTGGAATAATTATCAAACAAACAAAAATGTACTACTTGATCAATAACTTGTGATAACATAAGTAGTTACAAAAGCTTACTAGATAGTGATATCTTTGCTAGAGCTGGTACAAGTTGCACAAAGTCCTTGATCAGGATATAAAATGGAACTTGAGTGAGATCCAAATAGAATAGTCTCAACCGCTTAAGAAAATATATAGAGAAGTCTTTGATTGATATGTTGGGTTCAGATGAAGCTGAGTTCATCATCAAAAGCTGTGGCCGGCTAGGAACAAGGGACCAAGTTAAATCTTGACAACAGATCTGGAAAGTTGTCTTTGAGTGACCATCACAACACGTCTTGCTAGGAAATTGAAAGATAATGTGTTGTTTTGTATCCTTTATTTGCTGATATGTTGATAAGAACTCAAGCAAACCATTGGCTCATATTTGCTCTCAATTAGGGCAATGAGGGGCAGATTGAAAGGAGTTATCACCAGTGGGACATACATATGTAATTGGCTTTTCTTTGTGTTCTTCATGTTGATTGAGACAAATGCAAAATTTATGTAAAACACTTCGCAGTACTGAAATTACACGCCACAGCTAAGAACATGACCCTATATTGGCAAGGTTATGCATGGTATTCATTGAAACGGAGCTCGTGCACAATCCTTTGTACAATGAGGAATTTGCTCACCATCCCTTGTTTGTGAGTAATCAAGGAGCCATCAACAGAATCAAGATCTTTTTCAGATTTTTCCCTGTACATCCACACTACATCATACAGGATGTGAACAAAGATGATGACAAAAAACAGATATTGATTAGCCGATGACATGGACAGATCATCTATCAAAAGCTGTAAAGCTTTCTATTAGGCGTATCCATCAGCTGGCAAAGGGTATCAACCCTCTTACAATCTCTGCGCATTCAGTTGTGGCTGCGCAACCAAAGTATGACACCTCAACTTCAGATGGCCCTCAAGACTATGCAACTCCCTTTCCTGACAGTTATCCTGCCGGCCTTGATCGGACCATCACTATCATTTCATGGAGTGACGCTCTATAACTCTGTCTCAAAATAGGTGAGCAGTACCTCTTTGGTGTAAAAGCTCATCAAAATGGTATTGATACTTGTCCTGATTATACAGGTCACCATTTATCTTTGATGGAGCCCTCTTGGATTCAAAGTTTTGGGGATGTCTTACCTGAGCTCGAAGATCATATCCCGGATGACACAGACTCAATGCCTTGGAGTAATGGACTTTTAATTGCACTTGTTGCTCAGTCAGATGACTCAAGTCTTGATCCATCGCCCAAGAACCTCAAGTTTGGTCAATGGTGGGCAATGCAAGATATTGAAAAGATTTGATCGGTAAGCAAACAAGGCAATCTAGCTACACGGGAACTATATTGATTGATGGAAAAACTTGTCCTGTTGTGGTCAAAGATTATGAATCTTGGTAAAGAAGAAACCTACCTAACAGATTTGGCAGTGTATCATCTGACTTTGTGCCTACTTGAACAATTCAAGATTGCAATGGTTTTCTCTATTCATGTGACAAATGATCAAAGGTGGTTGTTGAACACCATACAAGTAAGCTGTTGCTTCTCTCAATTCTTCTTCTACTTACATGTGTGTCTTTTTGGGTTGTGTTCAATATAATGCTTCTGACGCTTATTCAAGATAAGCCGATAACATATATCACATTGAAGAAGTCTCGGATCAACCACTGAAAGTTATATGTACAACAAGGAATTTTAGTCATCCTCAGCCAGAATCTTTATTATCAGATTGTGGTTTTGTGCACTTTACCTACGATTACTTCTGAGTTCAAGCACTGGTTTTGAACATCAAGGTAAAAGATGGACTACTGACTGGTATGCGGGTGGTTGACCTCAGGGAAGTTATCAATTTAAAGTTATATATCTATTCACATGATTATGACAATATAGCTCACTTGGAGTCGAAAAATCGATATAGGTACAAGTGGTCATGCAACAACCCACACCAAGATGGGGTTGATGCATTTATTTCAACTCATCACTGTGGGACAGCTTGCTTTGCGCTTGACTTGAAGCCAGCATCTCTCAAGTATGGGATGGTGGGTGAGCAGGATACACAACACAACCGAATAATTCCAAAGCCAAGCCTGAACATGAAAAATCAAACGTTCATGAAGAAGATGCTGGAAATAAAACCTCCAAATCAGAGGAAGATGCCTTAGAGACTTGGTGTAATTGATTGGAAGGGAGTGGTCATGAGGATGATTGTCAGAATCATGTTGTGGATTGTCCAAATTAAATAAATTTTCCCTGAATTAGAAATCCCTACAAATATATATACCTCATATTCACTTTAGCTCTTATACACATCAGATATTGTTTTTGTAGACTCCATATATCATGAATTAAATTGTAGATGCAGAAAGGTTTGACCTTCAGAGCTCCAAATCTAACTGATTAAACTTGTTCCTTGAGCCAGAAAAATCCTGATTGATTAAAAATGTTGAGTTTGAATTGAAAAGAAATAAAATATGGATAACCATGAAAAATACTAGCTTAGCACAGGTGGATGAGCTATATTGACGGTAGGTGCCAATCTATCTCTATCCCCAATTTCAACCTCAGGAACAAAGTCAGTATGGTGTCTATACATCAATCTTGCTTCATTTACATCCACATTAAGACACCTGAGAACAGCCAAGATAGCTGGAAAGACATGCCAGACAGTTTCAATTGAAATGTAATCAGTTGAGATCTCTAAGCATCTGATTGCACTGGCAACTTGGTCTTGGAAGGCTTTTGGAGTAACTTGAAAGAGTGTATCTGAATCAGGGATATGTTTCTGTCTGAGAGCTTGATTGATTGATTTTGGAATTGGAAAATGGCCATCCATGCCATTCAACTCTTTGAGTGAAGAGTAGACTACATTGGGAATTACACCTGTTGGAAGCACTGATTATTTATTTTTTTGAGTATGTGAAGTGTTCTTTATTTGAGTATAATCATCCAAGAGTTTCTGAACAATGGGAATCCAAAGATAAAGGAAGAGCATTCTTAAATATAAATGCTTGCTTAGCAAAACATCATCGAAGGGAAAAAGAATAACTTACTTCTGTAGAGGATAACATTGATCACAAATTGTCATACTGATAGCTGCCTCTATCTCATTGTGAATCACAAAGGCAATTGCTTCCCGTAACAGTGACCAAAGACTTTCAATCTTCTGATTGCGTTGAGAAGTCGTATAGAGATGAGCAGATTCAGCTTCTTCAGGAGTAGAACTACCATAAACTTGAGCTAATGACATTTGAAAGCCAGCCATCTTGATTGTCTCAGTTCCATGATCTGTGCACATCTTTTGCGGAATACTTCCAAGCTTTTCAGCAATATCTAGATAGTGATAACCAATTCTCCGTGGATCATTATTATTTACACCCACATATAAACCCAAGGCCATTCTAGACCAAACATCAATGAAACCCTAAATTGTAATTTCAAAAGGTTTGAGCTTATCATGCCCATCACTAGACCAGACATGATTTGGACCATGAACATGGAAGACCCGTCTCTTCAATCTCCCTTGACGTTGTGCAGCAACACCACGTGCATACAGGTGACGTAACAAATGTTACGTCGCGCTGACGCATACACAGGCCCCGGGTGTGATCTGGTGTGATACAGCAGTAGATACAGTGCATGCGACAGTGACTGCGACTGCCAATCCTGTGTGCTACACCTCGGATTTTCCCACATTGGATCTATATATACAAACATTGGAAATAAGAGGATCGAGCAACTCCTCTGATCCCCGCGGATCAAAAGCAACCAATCCCAAGTTGGCCATATGAAATGTCCCAGTCAATACGGCTTGAGCTATGACGTTGTATTTGTTTGCACACACACAAAAACACTGCTTAACCACTTGCTGTGTATATCTTATAAACCCGGTCAAACCATCAACCCATCCTGACCCTCATCCTCAGTTCCCTGGTTAGTTCCCTTCAGTATTTCGCTCATCTTTTAACTTTTGTCAAATATCTTTCGATCTCTGTTAACATCTTTTGGCGGTCAATCTTCCTCTAGCTTTTTTAATCTCTTCTGCAATTCTGTTTTCAATACTTTATCATGTCCGAAAATTTGTCAGACAAACTCAAAGATTTTATTGCTACCCAGCTCGCCGATCTCAAAGGCCAAGTTTCATCAAAGGATGAAGATATTGCTCTACTTCGAAATCAGCTCAATGAGATGAAGATGGAAAAGAAGTCACAGCCTTCGTCATCTTCTTGCAAGACAACGGCTACTTTCTCAGAGGAAACTATTCATCGATCCAAGGCCTCCACTTCAAAGAGCTCAAGGCATTCAGCTGAAACACCTTCAAAGTCGTCGTCTAAACCGCACTCCACACCCACTCAATCTAGATCAACTCCGCTCAAAACCACATCAAGATCCAGCAAGAATATAAAACCTCCAACTCTGAAGCGACACCCATGCCAGCTGCAGGAGCGTGAGTTGGAAGACAGTGTCAAGCCTGTCAAGGTAAGCCCACTATGTGTAGTCATTGTCAAAAGAAGATGAATACTGACTCCATGTACAATACTCACAACGCACTCTTTTTGACAATTTGAGTTCTCTGGGGTCTGACTGAGAAGGGAGCAGTTCCGCAGGCGCCAGATCCGCAAACATTGAAGGAGTTCTATTCCTGTTTCACCACACAATCTGATATCGAAAGTGTCCTCGCAAATTCATCTTCACGTGCCATTATCGCACAAAACAAAATTCAAACTCTGAACGACAATCAACTTACACAAAAGGCTGGTCGTGAGACTCTCCATCTCAAAGAAATTCACATAATGTTCATTCATAGCAGTCTTGCTAAGCTAGGTCTTCGACGCTGGGGACCTAACTTGAGTGAAGCAACCAATTCACTTCTCAACTCGGCCTGTAGAATCAGTGCAATTTTGGCATTTTGCCAAGTGGCTGCCGGTGGAGCATTCGACACTGCGAACATGGAAGCTACTTATATCAACAATGTCAAACTTTTAGTTAAAATTTATGATCACTATGTACATCATCTCATGGCTGGCAAGTTTAAGAAAGAACTGAAGGAAGCTGGGAAGTGTGCTGAGGATGCGGCACGGAAGACTGCACAAACAGGAAGAAGACGTGTAAGTTAACTATCTTTGTTCATCTTGGACAGCATGCTGACTTTGTGTTTGTTTAGCTTAGAAATCATCATCGCTTGGAGTTTGCCAAGGCCATGAAGTATCCAAAACGCTACCTGAATTTCTTGGACAACATCGCATCTCATAGTGACAATGAGCCCAGTAAAGATGGTCATTTCTGGATCATCAGGAAGTTAGAATACCGTTCCAAAAAGGCCACCGTATTCCTGCGCCGCCTGGATCAAGATATTGCCACCGCCAACCCAGCTCTCATCAAACCTACTCAATTTTGCACTTGTAGAGTACCATTACTGCACAGGAAATCACTATTCAACCGTCCGCCTCAACGTTGCTCCCTTAACACCTTATCACCAGCTTACTTCAATTCACTCCCACAACATCTCAAATTCACACTTGCTGACACCAAAAAGGTGATATTCCTCCCCAATGCTAAAAAGTCGTTACTCCCGAGACCCCACACCCATCCCGGCAAAAAAATTGAGTGATTCGAAGTTTATTAAAAAGTATTATGATAGGATATCGGCCCCATACACTCTTGAGTCTGTCAAAACGTCTTCCTCTTTGTCTTCATCAGAGGAAGATGAAGATCTACGTGGTAAAGGTAAAGCTAAAGCTAAAGTTGAAGGTAAGGCTAAGGCTAAGGCTAAGGCTAAAGGTAGCAACAATTATGATGATACAGATTATGGAACCGGCATCGGCTTGAGTAATACTTTGGGCGAAGATGAGGAGGAAGCCTATTATCAGGAAGGTGAATTTGAAGACGACTTTTTGGACTCTGATGAAGACAAAGACTCAGAAGAGGATGAAGATTTTGACCCTACTAAACAAAAAACTCCTTCCTCTGGTGATGAATCATCCAACAAAGCAAACAATCAACAAGATGATGGTGATAAGTCTGCCATGATCATCAATGATGACTGAATCTAAGGTATGTCAAGATTGGATCTTTCATAACTCACCTCTCTCGCTCATTGAAATCTGACTCCTAGCATTTTTGGGCCATTGGCTATGCAGTGTCCATTGAAGCTCTCTGCTACCTCGGTGTAAATAGTTGTTCATAGTGTGAATAACCTCAAGCAGTTTCATTTGTCATTTTTTTCACTATCTTTCAATGTCAAGTCTTGCTTCCCTCAATCATCGATGAAGTTGTCCATAGTGTAAACAAGCTAGCAGTTTCATTTGTCATTTTCACTATCTTTCAATATTGAGTCTTTTTCCCCTCAATCATCGACAAAGTTGTTCATAGTGTAAATAATCTCAAATTAATGTTTTTTTATCTACTGTATGTTGTGTCTACAAGGTCTGTCAATGAAGAAATTTACCTTGTCTTGGTACCTCCGCCAAAGAAATGTGTCATTTGTGTACTTTCTACTTTTGCCAAGGGTATTTACATAACTTCCTCAACCCCTGAAGTGGGTCTCTTTTGATTTTGAGTGACTATAAAGGTGAAGCTATTTCGTTTTCTTCTTTACTACCATCAGCACTTCCCTCAATTTTTATATAATAACACCATGCCTTCTCCCATCTCATGGGCTACTCTCCCCGAACATATCCTGTCCAATATATTCACACAAATTCCAGCTCATGTTCCCAATCATGGCGAGGGATGTCAGCCAGTGCACCTTACAAGAGTTTGTAAGCATTGGTACAAAATTGGAATCCAGATGTGAGTGGTATTTAAGTTTCTAGACTGTTGCGATTTTATCCTGATTGTCATCTTCTATTTCTTAGATTCTGGAGGGAAATTAGAGTCGGTGTTGTAGTAGCTTTAATCAAACTAAATATTATTGCCATGAAACGCCCAGAACTAGCCAAATTGATCGCACAGCTCTACATCTATGGCACCAGCCTTTCCAGCAATACCTGTGAAACTTGTTGGGATACTTTATCACCCAAGGACAAAGCTTTGGCAGTTGGATTTGTTTGGCCGGACTTATACCGCGTTGACATCTGGCTACCAAATGGATCAGCCTATTTAAGGCCCTAACTTCATACTCGCAAAAATGTTGCTTTTTTCTCATATTTAATGTAAGACTTGAGTAGCATGTACAAAGCTAAAACAACTACATAAGACAGGCACCACCACCATTGGGGAGCCACAAGAAGGAATAAAAATCTGGCCAAACAAAATTGGCAACAGAGCCTTTTTCCATGGGAGTTATTGACATCCAATTAAGCTGCTGAGAAGTCAAACCATTGCACATTGTATATTTCAAGCTCTGCGGTCATTGCAGCAAGTTCTGGGCGAGCAAGAGCAGTCATATTAAGCTTGATTGTGTTCACCACTCCATAGATTTGGATACTTTTCCAACACCTAATATTCAAATTGTAAGTCTTACAGAAATGTATTAAATTGTGGATGATGATATAACTCACACATAAATGCCTGCGTAATACCAGTGCTTACACACTCATGTGAGTAGCACTCGATGTATTCCGTTGAACCAATTGGGTAGAAAATGGAAGACTCTGCACAATATCTCTGGAGGAAGGTTTGCCCATGAGATGCCACGAGGGGCTTTGATAGGGTTGATCCATAGTCTAGGGTCTATCGCCGGAGGAGGGAAAGATTTAGGAAGTGATTTTGTGGTTGTTGATGACATGATCAAGGGTTTGAAGATGGTATGAACAAGTTTGTGATGGTATGAACAAGTTTGTGATGATATGTATGGTACAAACAAGAAAGGAATAGGCACAAAACCTTGATCTTTATACAGAGCAAAGAACAGAGTTGACCTCCTATCTCTCAACAGGAGAAGAGGTACGTGAGCACATAGCCCATATGAAGAGAGTAATGGACCTACCAAGCCGGATGAAATACCTACAGAGGTGACAGCAAGGAACTCGCTGTTCTATATTTTTTGTCTTTCATTAAGCTGGTTGTATAGGAGTCTCTCTCTCCACGCAAAGCCGGGCTTACGTGAAGTTGAGATTTGACCCTTGCCTATATGATGATTGATGGATGAGTGACAGATCTATCGAGCCGGAGAAGATTGTAGACGTTCTCACTCGTATCAACAAAGAAATCCACAGATGAATTATGACGAAGACTGTAAATGAAAGGTCTACAAGTTGGCACCTTGACTCCGACTTCCTCTACACCAAGTTCAAAACCTTCCTCTACACCAAATTTACCATATATCAGAGAAGATGTCTCTCTTTGAAGCCCGTGCTGATGGTTCCTACTCAAGAGCAACCTCAATTTGGCGCTTTTCATCCAAACTCTTATGTCACCCGGTGAAATTCACTTTGGACGTCATCTTACAAGTTGCAACTGTATTATCGTATAGATGGACAGTCCACACCGGCCTTTTCCATCTTGAAAGGGCCCTCAGCGTTACAAGGCCTACTTGGACTATCACTGTTGCGTTTGGAATGGCGTTTGCAGCACCCGTTTTCAACTTCGACATCAAGATCACGCTGGCTCTAGCGTATCTTTTCTCCAGATTTGTGGACATCTCGGGGCACTCATTTTTACCTATCTAACTTTCATATTCAGCTGTGAGTCTTAAATTCATATATATATAAATGACTTGGATGTGTAAGTTGATTCAGGCACAATATATTTCGAGATGCACAGATTTCAATGTCACACTTTATCAAGGCAAAGATTTTGTGATGATGGTGGATTATTCACATGAAATTAGTATTGATGAAGCTTTATTACGCAAACATATGATGATGGTGAATTATTTACATGGAAATATTCTTTATGAAGCTCTCTTACACAATTATATTATTTAGTATTTTCGAGAGTTATTCAGAAAGGAGAAGATAGTATTTACATGAATGATAGGTATTTAGTGAAAGATGTACATGTCCCAAGAAGCCTAAACGTCCTCCATTTCCACATCCTTGTCCAGAAAGCCATGTGAACCCCCAACTAAATCTTCCTGCATTTTCCACATCCTCATCCCGAGAGCCATGCAAAGTTTCAGCTTTGCTGTCCTTCACCAGATGAGGATCGAGCAAGTTCAGCTCAATAGGGCGGAGAATGATTCCACCTTTGGGGATTGTAAAGGTGTGAGGAAGAAGATTGTGATAGGCAGAAACGCCAGTAATCTTCTTTGGGTTGAGAAATATATACAATGATCCGTCCGCACAGCTGTGCCAACCACACATCGGAGATGTGATAGTTGTAGTCGAAATGCGGTAGAAGAACATTTGGTGCGAATCTTTGGGTATAGATTGGTGATTGGCGCAATACACACTAGAGTTAGGGGTTTGCTGGAGCCCATGGTGATTACCCTGTAGATTTGTTTGACAAAACCATACTTTTGTATGCCTTCTTCCCAGTAAAATATTAAGGGATTTGGGGCCATAAGTGATATTCGGAGGTATTTGGAGCAGTGATGGACGGTGACTGGTATTGCTCGGGTTTGTAGGACGGAAGATGATGGTGGATGGGGAACCATATTTTAATGGCAAATATCCGGGTGACTGGCACGTAGATGGTTTAATAACCGGAGGTACATGGTATCTGTAAGCTCGATCTTTGTTGACCTTTGTGGTTTTTTTTCTGGTTCAGCTGTTTTTTCAACTGCATGAGTTGCCTGCAAACACTGCAGCTCGCATGTTTTACGCAACATAGTCCCATCCATCTGATCTGGATGCAGAGGCATGTAAGTCAGTGATGAGAAACTGATTGATATCTGATCAAGTTGACTTACTTAAATGCTGATTTGTCTTGAGTTTTTGAAGTATACCATTCATCCTTTCCCCAGCAAACTCAGAGATGCCCATCAAAGGACCCCAATATCGAAGTTGATCAGGTATATCTAGGGCGTAGTGATGATTGGGTGTAATTCTAAGTTCATTAAATAAGACCTTAGAAGTTGTTCCATAATGATTGTATAGCTTCTCAAATTTCTGACAGTCTTGTTCTATTACAGCTTTTGAAGCAACAATGTTGGTGCATGAAATCAAAGCAGATACATTGTCAAGGATGAGAGCACGGTTTGAAAGCTCCTTGAAGTCATTAACATCAATGATTAAAAGGTCAAATATTGTGAGAGGTAAACAGATGGAAAATAAAGAATGCCACTGTGATGCCTTCAGTTTTCCATGTGAGACTTGACCAAGGTTTTTGGGAATTTTTGCAATCCCTGATGGCAGTACAGTTTGCTTCAGTGCTTGTTGGATATGATCACGCTCCTTTGTGGTGAAGAGGGGTGATTTCGAATTTTTTTTGAGATCAAAGTCATCGGACCAGGTGTCTTCATCAGTCACCATGTTGAAACCAATGTCTTCTGAATCGCTCTTGTCTGTAGGTGGGATTGGAGGTTTATTGGCTGATTTAGCAGAAGAGTTGTCTTTGTTTTCAAAACCCCACCGCTTCCAGAAGTGATGTTGGAGTACCCCTTCAAACCAGTGATGCATGACTCCGAGTGGTACATGCATAACTGGGTCTCGGGAAGGAAGTCGATTGAGCTCCAACCATCGGAGTCCAGTGGCCTTGGTGATCTTATCCTGGTCTTCAGACAGTGTTGCATCTTTCCATTTCAACGCATGTGATAAAGTTTCACCCTTCTGTCAAAGCCGTCCAATTCTCAGTTGCTTTACTTCCTTTCTTGTACAATAGCACAATGCACAGAAGAATGTGTGTGAATGAGATGCGAAACCAGCGACTTTGTGAGCGGCCACTATATCTGCAATCAAAGGAAGTATCTTGACTTGAACGATTTGTCCTTTTGGATATTGATGTGTACATATTATTGTACCTTTGTCGAGTATCAGGAGCTGCTCAATGAATGTTTCGAGAATATGGCTTATAGTGAAGTTGCTGGGTTTGCGAGGCCCAGGAATTATACCGGCAACGCACGTGTTTGTTGTTTTCCATCGGCTTTGTATTGGAAGGTTGAGGCAATTGAGAGCTTCTAGGCCAATTGAAGCTTTCTTTCCGGCAATCTTGTTGCCCCAAGGATTAAACCAATTGATAAAAACACTGAAGACCAATTGAATCGAAGGGGATGAGCATTTGAGATTGGGTTCGTTCCAGTCAAGACTCTCCCAAGCGGGAGATTGCTGAACGTCATATATGCTGGGTCCTTCAGAAGCTGACAACACGCGAGTCCAGTTTTGGATTTCTGATTCTACTTCAGGCCTTCCAAGGAACCAGGTGATCCAGGATAAAAGATTTTGTGTTACATATACACATCGTGGTATTTCAGTCGAGGAGAAGAAATTGAAAGCACGAGTTGGAGAAGATCCTATGGGGCTCTTGCCTTTGGCTTTGATGGCTCCAAACGTTGTCTTTGATTCGAAAAGTGGTTCGCCACACTCCTCCGCATCTGATGTGCGCTGGTAAGTACAGAAAATTGGTGCAGATCGAGTAGTATATATCTTGAAGCAAGAAGGACAGCAGATCTGTTGAATCAGGGTTGGGGTAAGATTAAGCTGCTTGATGATAGCTCGTGTGTCCTTTGATATCAGACGTCCAACATCAACCCCAGCTGGTATCCTCTGAGCACCTTTGATGATAGTCATGATTCGATCTTGGGCAATCCGACAGTTCCGCAGACTCACATTGCAGAACCAATGAAGCCAAGCAATGAAGACTAATACAATAACTAAACAAGTATTGTGATTAGCAAATTTTGGTTTTTATAACCTTCAGAAGGTATGTATGTACTCACGGGTATAGTCTGCCACTGGCACCCTACTGCTACTGGAGCTGCTATTTGAATCGCTGGTGTTTTCTGATGAAGTCGATGGTGGTTTCTCCACAACTTTTTTCTTCACAAGTCTGTTCTCATCCTCTTTGAGGTGTTTATTCCTGGTTGAAGTCGACTGAAACTTTCCCACTCGTACCTGACCATTGGTGTCTTCCCAGGAATATTGAGTGCACTTTGAACACAAACAAAGGAGCATCTCAAGTTGTTTGACCAAGAAGGGGATAGGAATAGGCTTTTGGATTCGACTTTCTCATTCATTGCCCGCTTATGAACCTCTTCAGATTGAGCATCATACCCAGTCTCTCAAGTTGCAAGGGATGATCAAGTGTTGAATTTCATCATACCTCATCTGGTTCCTCAATGAGGTCTGATGATGATTTGATGAACACGTTTTTCTCTATTTTTCTCCATCCGTACATACGATCTGACCGCTGTCGCTGAGGCTGTACCAACGCGCGGTATGATACAGCGGGGACTGTATCAGCATTTCTGACAGCTGTAGCACACGCGGGGCGTGTGAGTGCGGCAGCGCGACGCCGGATTTGCGTGCTACACCTGTATGCACGTGGTGCAACACCCTCAGGGTCACTTTGTTGAAGCAAAGTTTGAACTGTGTTCTGGTTGACTCAAATATTATGTAATACAGCCAAGGCATTCTTCATGCGTTGTATCCCAGTGTCACAATGAGAACCACAAAGTATGAATTCCATTTGTTCAATCGAGGAGCTCAGAGGCTACCAGTCCAGTTTGTAGATCCTCTTTCTTCCACCTAATAGACAGATCTTGAGATATCTTCCGATTATCATTCCTGTATCACCTTTGATCTGATCAATAGCGTCTTTCTTCTGATAGCCACTTTTATTGAATTCTAGGATGAGTCTTTTGATTATGGCTTGATCTTGAGGCAAAAATTTACTGTAAGCAATGCTAAGGCCATACTTTTGAAGGTGGCGAGTGAGAGTTGTACGTGAAATTGTAATACCCATGCCTTCAAGATGCAAGAGGATCTCATCTCTTTGCATTGCAGCTGCAACACACTGGCGTATAGCATGCTCTTCAAGCTCCTGATGATGGATAGGATTGATGTGATGCTCGGATTCACAGTCCGCATAATCTTGAGGTTGATTCATATTGGATGAGATACAATCTTCAGGCGATATAAAAGGGTACAGGAATCGAGCAAAACAAGAGAATCAAAGACGAAAAATGTCAAGGAAAGCAAAGGAACAAGTTGGAACGAACATCCCTACGTAAAAATTTGGTCGGCTCTCTGATGCCCAACAGATACAAATACATGATATATTACACGTTTGATATGATAGAGAGAGTAATGGTGGTGCTGAGAGTCAATTGATGATCAACTTCAAATGTGGTAGATTTTGGAATCGATTGGTCACGAGATTTTGGACAATTTTGTCAAGTACAAGGCAAAACCACCTTGGTACACACTGCGTAGTGCTTTAATGCATCGTGCATTCAAGGTGGTCCTTGCTTGCTCATCAGGGACACAATAGTGATAGGATACATAGTAAGCCAAATGAATAAAACTTGAAGCCTGTTTGTTTTGTTTTCTAGAGAAATGCATTTCTGTAAAAAAGACAAACTTGGGTTTCCTCAAGAGAAAGTGTGAAACAAGACAGTAACTAGTGTTTGCCTTGACGGTCCTTAGGCACATCAAGGATGGCTGGTTTTATAAACACCCACCAGCCATCATGTCGAATTCTTACATTTGTACAAGGTCCGCAGCCTTCTCTTAAAAAGGTTCCAACCTTCTCTGGTTTTTCATTCAAGTTCAATGATGTCCTTCCCTTGTTGAATATGAAGAAGATTGCCCATTGAACTTTATAACTCTGCGGAAACCAGTATACAATCTTGTTACATGTTTGTTTTTTTGGTGTTGATGGTTGCTTTTCTGCTTCACTTTTGCTGCTGTTTTCTTGTTGTTGCTGAACATTTTCACATTGGTGGAGAATCATCAACCAATTAGAAAGGCAGTGAAGAATGGAGTGGTGAAGTTGTCTTGTAGATCAAGTATACATATTTGAATGGTTTTGTCCAGGTGTGTATGGTGTGCGTGGACATGTGCATTTTTGTAAAAAGGACGGAACACAAATTAAACAAATTCCAAGAGTGAGAATTTGTCAAATACTCATTCTCGGAATTGGCGTAATTCTTCAAAGCGCCTTGTAAAATTCATAGGATGCTTGCGAAGAAGCACCCAAACATGTCCTGTCAAAATCCCCACAAAATGCAATTCTTGCATTTGTTTTCTGCTTTCAAACCTTGCTTCTGGTGTGGTTTTGCAAAGTGCGATCATCATAAAATGGGTTGTGATAACAAATCCTGCAGTAAATGTTCCCATATGTCCCCTTTTGGTTGTTGGCTCAACACTCTTTTGGGCTGAACGATCATTGTTTCTCCAATCACAACCTTTGCTGCTCATATGCCATTCCCTGTCTGCTTTGCCAATCTCCACAATTTATCCTTGTACTTCAATGCATTTCTGACTGGATATTTCTTCAACCTTTGGACCAAACACCATTTGCTTCAAGATGTGGAATTAGTTGTGAAAAGTAGCTTTTGCAAACTCATGTATTGCACAGCTGAAGCTTCTTACAATCAACACTATGGCACCCACATTTGTGCATACCTAATTTTTGAGGGTAGATTCACATGGAGGGCAAGAGTGGTGAGGAAAGACCATACCAGCACCCTTATGCACCACACTGTGCACAGTGTTCAAATTTAGTTGGAAACACACCTGTTCCGTATATGTTTAGACATGTATCAACACCAGTGGAAAATTAATCCGCCTTTCCATTTTGTATGTCCCCCTTGACTCTTCACAAATTCTGACATCATTGTATTCAAGTCACTCTCTTTAAGACAGCTTGTATTGTGCTATGAAGGGGATGTTTATTAGTCTGCCATTACGTGAGGGCTTTGGATGATGTTATGTCTTTTATACAACACCCATGTTGTGTGATTGAAGGGAACAGTTCATTCTGTGTGTACCTTCAAATAAATTCCTTTGGTTGTCCACCACACTCACCGATTCTTCCCCTGGAAATGTTTTGTTTTTCAAGCCTGTTTGCTTCACTTATTCTTCAACAAACCATATTGAAAGCTAAATTTTATGAGCAAAGATCATCTGTAGAAACCTCATTTCTGCCACAATTTCTTCTCTGTGTGTTTTGACACTGACTCCAATGTGTGACACATGGGCCAAAGAATATCCTCACATGAGTTCAACAACTTACCCAACATGCAGAGCCTGGCCTATATGACAACACTCTCAAATCAGACAATAATTGTAGTCATATGCCTCCCAAAAGTACTGTAAGGATGGTTGTGGGCTCCAGTTGGGTCAATAAACTGGTATGGTGTGTGGGGGCTGTCAGCCAAAGATCAAGCAACATCATCATAATACACGATTGGATTCTCAGCAAATTACACAATCTCATTCTTGGCAAAGAACACAATGCATTGCTTGCGCAGCCAGTGTACCGTTTCTTATGGATGATATTGATTCAGCAAGAGCTCCAGAGTCAACAATTCAAATTCCCCAACTCTTGTTGAGTACACTTGCTTCCATGAGTCCAAGCACCTACTGCAGCCTTCATCCAATTGCAACTGTTTGCACAGTTCAACAGAAGAAACAAGCAGCAAGACACCCACTACAATTGGGAGTGCATTTTGTGGATTTAAACAATACTAGGCTTAGCAACATGGAACAGGAACGAGCTGCAAAAGGAACCCCGGATAACACACAGGGGAACAAGTTGTGCAAGGAACCACAATCACATTTTGAACCAGATTGTAGTCAAGCCAAAGCAAGATGTCCACCATGGTACCAAGTCACATGGTGTCTCGAATTGCATGTCATTGATTCCTTTGATCAGATCAAAATCTTGCAAACAGCTAAGCTGAGTATTGGCACCGAAGTGCTCTCTAGAGATCCTATTAAATCTCCAAATCAGCACCCAGGTCAGTGCATGGTGGGGGTACCAGTAAACAATCTTTTTGGGAACTTTGATGGTCTTGACTCAGGAACATCTTAAGGTGCAGTTCCATAATCAAGTTTTGACACAAGTGGTATAAACCCATAACTTGTAGTCAGAGTTTTCATACAGTGGGAATTGAAATTGGACTCAATCAAATTCTCAATCCACCACCACTCACATTCTTGTCACTTGATTCTCATCACACATTCTCAAGCATGGGACTTAAAGTTTGAAAATTTCAAACCTTTCAACACAGATAACTATTTCAACAATGACATCCTTTTCAGCAGAAATGAAGAAAACCCAAGACACACTTAGTGCGGCGGGAATAGTTGTGAAAAAAAGACAGCGGGAGAAGGTACAGGTAATACAACTACAAGAAGCCAGTCAAGAAACAGGGAAACAAGCGGACAGAGTGGAAGCTCAAACACAAATTCACAAAGTCAACCGTTACAGAATCAGTCTACAGGAACGGAGCAAACAGCCAATCAAGGAGGCGGTGGTAGACAAGGTGGCAATGAAGGAGGCAACGGGGGAGAGAAGTATAAGAAAACAGAAGAGTGGACAAGAGAAAGGACAAAGATGGTGCAGGCACTGGGGAAGAAGATGGTAAGTAAACCCAGAGAACCATCCAATCCTAAATTTTGCTGAGGGGACAAAGAAGAGGTTCAGCTTCTTTATCTTCCTCTTTCTAAGAAAGGTCACAGGAGGAGTGACGGGGGAGAGAGGAAACATACCAGATGAACCTGTCTCAGAAGGGACCGTAAACTCACAAGACAGAGAGTGAAAGAGAGCAACAATGAAAATATAAAGGAGCATAGAAAGGAGAAGACTGATGAGAGGAATGATTGTCAATGTTCAAACCGCTGTAGAGCCAGAGGACGAAGAGTCAGCAAAGGCAAATTGGTGGGGGGCAATTCAGTTTGCCTTAAACACAAGACAAGACATCCTTGCGGACAACATGTTATGCGGCTTCAATTTGATGTACGGCAGAGAGGACCAGGGCGGTGAAAAGGGTGGTAGTTGCATGAGGCGAGGCAGGTCGCTGGTGAGGTATTGCACGGAACGGCCAAGGACAGAGTCGTTGATAATAGGAGAAGACAATGCAGACAATGAAGTAAAGGTGGTAGGACAAGATAGCCAGCAACCAGAAGATGGGTTTAGAGAGAGAAGAAGGGAGGCAAGGAAAGATAGTGGAAACAAAGTCCTGCAAGAAGCAGAAGGGGAAGAAAGTAAGTGTCAGACATGGAGAATAAGAAGAAAAGGAGGTAGTCCTGACAGAAGAGTGACATTGTGACAATAGATACCAAGGCGGGAAACCGTTGGGGGATTCCTCCTTATTAATACCCCTGACTCCTTACTTCAAGAATAGGATGCAGACACTGAAAGCTTATGGACTGTTGGCAGTTTGTGAACCAAGTCGGATCAAGAGAGATCGTAGAGTGGTAGGGAAGAAGAAGGTGAAAACGCTCAAGGAGCTACAAGAAGATGATTTGTTGGCGACTTACTCGGGACTAGTACCAAGCAAGGAACTCCTCATGACTCACAGCTTCTGGATTGACAATATGGACTTGTTCATACGTTACTTGAAAGATGAGTACAGCAGACCATAAGCAGCTCTGATGTTTGGACAAAAAAAAGAGAATGTGGTGAACGTAAAAAGAATTACAAAATGCTGGATGGTAGCGTTAAGATATGACATAAAAGTTGGATTAGTAACAATGAGGTTAAGGAAAGGAGGAGGCAGGAAGTTGATGATGAAAGATGCCGCCTACTTACATGAAGACCTGTTGAGGGAAGGAAAGCAGGACACAGAGGCAAAAGGAGAGCAATAGTTTGGTGAGAGTCAGTATGCTCCAGGAGGAAAGAATGAAGGGATTGATCCAGTGACGGGATTAGCCTTGAATCCGACATGGGGGGGATACGCCAGTGCAGGCACAAGTAACAGCCGTGGTGAGTGAAGATCTTGAAAAGGCAACGCGGATTCGTGGGACTGAAATCTTCTCACCAAGTAGGCTACAACAGAGGGAGCGGAAGAGGAACAAACCCAAACGTGAGGGGTGTCCTAGCAGCTTTAGGCGGAAGTCAGAGAGGCACGTCAACAAGGGGACACAGCTGGTTTCAAGGAAGAGGAACAGGATGGTGGCCAAAGGAGAGAGGAACAACTAATGGTGGGAGTGGATTAGAAGGCTCTGAAACATCAACAAAAGAGTGAGTTCAAGTCCAAGTGAGAAGGATCAGTAGAGTGCAGATATGTTAAGTAGAGCTTGTAATTGAAATGCATCACCTAATTGTGTCCTGTGATGTTATGATCTAGTCCTTGTCCGTGCTGCAATGACAAGGGAATGAGACCAGGTCACAAGAGGAAAATCCCACCTCCACAGGGAGGAAGAGGAGAAAAGACAACACGCAAGATAAAACTGAAAGGAAGAGAACCAAGTGTGGTGACTGTAGGAAGAGTAGAGGCAGAGATTGAAGAGAGCGAGTCAACAAAGAAGTCACCACTGGACATTCTTGAACATGAGAAAAAAGGTTGACAATCTTAGACTCACAGATGTCAGAACCAGAAGTGGTCAACAAAGATTTAGAAGAGAAGCCAGAAACAAAGACCTTCGAACTAGGTTACAAAGAAGAAACAGAAGAGAGAGGCATCTAATGATTAGGACACCAAAAGGCCTAATATTAGTAGACTTACAAGCTACCTTTGGAGGCGTAGCAGGATGCGGAAGCTTGACCGGTAAACGCCTGGAGGGCGATTATGAAGGGATGTTTTGGGTTTATGGAAGTGTTCTGATGGGTAGATGATAACTTATTCATTCAACCAAAAATGAAGAAGGAAAAAACGTCGATGTTGGAAGTAGTGGAAGGAAGTGCCAGATGGGGTGTGAAAACAAAGGAAAATATGCCAAGCCAGCAAAGAGGAGAGATATATAGGTTTCATATGGAATGGGCAAGAGAGATTGGTGAGGCTGCCAGGAGCAAAGAGACAGGAACGATTGATTAGCACAGACAGAAGAAACTCTGAAGAGGCAGAGAGCACACTCATTCAAGGAGATAGAGAAACTCATGGGCAGACTGATTCACAATACTTACATGCTAACCCAGATGAAATGTTTCTGCGGAAACCTACACTACCTACTAGCTTTGTAGAAGAACCATCTAGCAATGAGAAAACTTCCCAAAGCGGTGGTGACAGACCTTGAGAAATGGTTGGAGGTACTTGGGAAATCCAAAAGCCACAAGTTGATACCAAAGAAGGGCGTAGAAAACATAGGATGGGAGGTGATGCATTGACAGGGTATGGGATAGGAGTAATTGTAGGGAAGTGCTGGACACAACTAAGGTTCAAACCAGGTTGGAACAAAAGAGATGAGGAAGGAGTGACAAGAAAGATTGCATGGATGTTGTGATTCTCTGTTTGCGGTGCTACTTTTGTTCTCAAGTTCGCTTCCAATCCCTTAATGAGATTTCCTTTTGCCCTAAGGAAAGTTGCATATATAAAAACGGAACCTTGCGTGACAACTTGAAATTCAAGCATGAATTTGACAATTGTACCATCTTGCCGAACTCCCTAACCCCATTGAATATACTTTTTTTATAGAAAGATACAAGTCTGGCCTTCATATTTGTCCTGCCAAAGAAACTGAGAACTCTCCTGACACCAGTACCCCTTCACTACTCATCATAACATATTTATCAAATCATTGTACATTGTGTTTGTCAAAATTTCCCTGATTCTTTCAAGACTAAAAAATTGTCATCTTTCTGTTCATTTTGATTTTTGTACTGACTGACTGCAGTGTTTCATCTTATACTTCTTGACTCAAAATTGGACTGTAAAGTAACACAATGCCCAAACCCGACATCGACAAGCCAACTGGTCTTGGGGATTATTTTTTGGGAAACTTTGAAATAGAAAGTGTGGTGTGTTGCTTAACTTGTTTGTCTACAACCACTTTCACGTACTGAGGTACTGTCTTTTGGAATAGGTCCCTGTTGAGCTCGGTAAAAAATCCGGCTATTGAAGCTATGTCGTGTTCATCAACTGCGGTGGTGCTGACCGCGACAAAGAAACTCAATACAAAATTCAGGCTATAGGTTACTCCTTGCCCTCAATGGCACTTACCAAGGGAAAATTCTACTTCCTGTAAGGCTTATTCTTTCCAACCAACACTGTGGAAACCCACAATGATCAGTTCTATTTTGAAGGATCTGACCATGCGTTGCTGGTCCAGCACATGAGTTCAAAGGCAAAGTAATGGATTCTATTGGAGTTACTGGCCTTGGTATTGTAACCAAGCTCAAAACCATTGTTGAACAATGTTGCTCTGGTCTCAAAGATAATGAAGATACACAAGACCCTAAAACTCTTGTGATGACTGTCAAACATACAGACTATCATCCAACCGTAAGTTACTTCCTCTAACATTGTCTTCATTCAGAATTTTGACTGACGCCTGCGAATTGCTCATAGATCAAACCGGTGCCAACGTTTTACATTGAATACCGTGTGCGCCCTTTAAAATATCTTTCAGGTATCCCTTGTATCCACGAATTGGGTCGTGAGGCCATGTTCCACAGTTACCTCAAGGATTCTAATGAAGAGACTCGTTTTACATAATGATTGTAAGTGTTGGCTGTTATGTTCAAATCCAAGTTGCTAATCATCTTTACATCAGGTCAACCGGGTTTCTACTACTTGTGGACATCTTCATGCGAGGGAATTTGAAGGAAAAGTTTCAAAAACCGAAGAGGTCAATGGCGGTGCAGGGCGCCCAAAACCAAAAAAGTAAAGAATTTGAGGACTAATCGTGATTCATTTTTAACTAATTAGACATGAGCAAACTGCATTAGGTTCAATCCAAAAGCGGTGAATGCGCCCTTCAAATCCCCAGTTCTACCACAGCCATCGACTGCATGCTTAGGATCTGGGCCCGCCAACCATCCCATTGCTCCAATGTTGAATTCTGGCAGTGAATCTGATAGTCCTCTTGACAAAGAGTCTAGCACCAAGAAGAGACCTGCTACCACAGTACCTAAAAAGCAAGCTCAAGCCCGCCCTGCTTGCTGAACTTCGAGCTCCACAACTCTTGACTTGACTTCTTAAGAATGTGCTGTGCCATTTCACTGGTGGGTAAGCAGATTCTCATTGAAGTTCAATGGACCATTTGCTTCTGCTTACACATTTTGTTACCCTTTTTTTCATTAGGCATCTATAGCAGGAACTTGAAACACTAGAAAAAGGTGAACCCTTTACTCTCCAATTCCTGATTTTGAACAATTTTCTGTCTCATTTCAACTTTCCTAAGTTCTTGGTATACCGTATGACAACCAAATTGTTCATTACTTTTGTTCTACTACTTTTGATCTTGAGAGAGATTCATATGTCCTATCAAACAAGTCTGACTGTTGTATTTGCCTGAGTTCTTTATATAGTAACCAAAGTTGTTCATTAGTATTGTTTTACTACTTCTGTTCTTGAGAAAAATTTCAAGTACCAAGACTAAGCAACCCTGTGCCAGCAAAGCAGCGCGGCGCAACAAAGGCATTTCCGGCTGTGTTGCTCCGCAACATGCAGCATACATGCCGCAACCTGTGTTACGTTGCGCCTAGCACCGCAACACAGGATAGGTAAGCCAAGTTGCGCGCCGGCTCACCCGTCGCGCAACAAAACACACGCAACAGCGCCAAAAACCCATAAAAACCAACGCTTTTGTGGACCACAACACAAAGAGTGATGTTGCGGTTGGAAAAAAAATCTGATCCCAAGGGCTTTGAACACTTATATAAAAGTTGTGCGACATTGCGGCGTGTAAATTCCGCAACGCGCCAGCAGCGCAGCGCGCAACAGCTGCGTTGCTGGCCCAGGGTTGGACTAAGTGTCAGCCCTGAGCCCTGTGTACAGGACCACGGACTAACAAACACACATGTAAATATATGTAATATGTATGTAATTATATGAAACTTGTCTAAAACCATAAGAATTACAACTCATGGCTCAGTTTCAAGAGTCACTTAAGTAACAAGACTTACTAGGACTTAACTAGTAATAGTAAACCTAACCCAAACCTAACCCAAACCTAACTCAAAGAAAAGCAAACCTAAGCGCCAACCACAAGTTGACACCTAGATCTGGAATATATAAACTCCTCTTCTTCCCACTCTAGAAGAGGAACCAACTTATTATCATTCCACAATTCCACATCACAACTTACTTGATTCTTACCAAGAATATTGAGTATAGTGATCTTATTGTATTTGATCTTATAGTTCTACAACTTTCCTCAAGCCCTTGTAAGCTTTAAAGTGGTGGTTCTAAACTAGTGGGACTATATAGTTAAAGAACCAAGCTTTAGAATTGCATAGGATACCTCCTGAGTTGAGTGTAAAGTATCCGGCGGAACCTTTGAGCAATCAGAGTGTAAAGTTCTGCAGGCTCTATCCCCAACAGAGCTCTTGAGTAAGCTCCTTTGAAGGATTACTCAGCCATCCCACTGGCTTTAAACCCTCTCCTCAGAGGTCAACTAACTGAAGTCTTTACTTGTGTGTACCAAGTAAAGACTATGTTAACCTTTTTTTTTCTTTTTCTTTTGAATGTATTTATAGTGCAATACCTGGCCCTAGGGCATAAAAACACACTGCGAGAACAGAGATTAGAAAGTAGCACAAGAGGATAGCTTAGATACGTGTCTAGCGGCTGTAACAAATCTGTGGGCCTGTATTAGTGCCTGTTCCTGGACGATATGAGGTAGAAGAAAAGAAAATTGATATAGAGAGAGAACATAGCATAGAAGATGAAAAAAGGTAACAACACTGTGGGAGGTAGCTATGTAGGGTTGGTTCAGAGGTACAGCTTTGACAGAGATTTAACGGAATCCCTCCACGCCAGATGGCCAGTGCGGAGGGAACACTCCTAGGCGCCAGTGATGTCCCCATTGGTCTTAAAGACATCTTATGTGTTGGTGGTGGGTTTCGACGGAGAATACTCCGCTATTTCTAAGTCTCAGCTGTTCCTCTTCCCCTCCCCTGGCTCCGTTCCCTACAAGCGCACAGAAGTGAAAAAGATGACAGAGAAGAAAAGAAATTAGAAATAGAAAGAAATGCAGATTGATTTGGTGTGGTTGATTGTGATGGTGGCGGTGTTTGATTTGAATTGTTGGTGGTATTTGGGAGATGGTTGGGAATAGGTGACGGGGGTAGATTCGGAGTTGAAGAAGATTGTGAGTTGGGTTGTAGTTGATTGGGAGGGACGATTAGATGTTGTGTCCTGAGCTTCGAGTCTTGAGTCTTGAGTCTTGCTGTTTAATGTGAGTTTGAAAGTTGGTGTTTGGTTCTTGTGGTTTGTGATGGCTTGAGGTGATAAGTGAGAAGGGACGCTGGGTGTCATATTAGGTTCGGAAGCTCGAAGAAAGCGTTGCTTGGCGTAGGCCCGCTAGCTCGTGGTGTTGGTAGGCGTGTTCGTGGTCTTGCTTGGCGTGGTCTGGGTGTTGGTGGTCTGTTGGGAGGCCTTCGACGTCTTGGTGCCTGGGGTGGTGGAGGTGGTGGTGGGTAGTTTTTGTACCTGGATTGGTAGAACCTGTGTGAGATCCGGCCAAAAGTAGACAGAGCATCATAGATGCTGGGGTTGGTTAGTAAGTCTCGACGGTGCATGCGTATACCGGCAGCTCTGGCTGCCACGGCCAACTCTCGTCGGATTTGTCTGAACTTCCTGCAGTTTATCAGCAGGTGCTTCACGTCTTCGTTTTGATGACAGTGAGCACAGTTTGGGGTATCTGATCCTTTAAACCTGAACAGGTAGCTGTTCAGCGGGCAATGTCCTGAGCGCACTTGGGCTACAAATGTTGCGTCCGATCGATTCAACTTGCTTAGAGCGGTAAAGGTAGCCCTTGGGTTATTAACTCCCATGAGTCAGGTGACCGCTGCCTCCGGAGGTGGCTGATCTGCCGCTGCTTGTAGGTTGGCTTTGATTGTCTTCTGTATCGGGGCTGTGCTAGGAGCGCTGGTAAGTATTTGATGAAGTGTTGTGGCTGTTTTTGCCGCTTCATCAGTGATGATTGTTGCTTGTACTCCAGAAGAGGACAGACACCATATGATGGTGATCTTAGACCTTGGAAAGATAGTCAGCAACTTGTTCAGGCTTTTCCTGATTTGTATGCAGGTGCTCATGCCAGGTTGGGTCTTGAGGGGTTTGGTGATATTTTGTATAGCGTTTTGGCAGTCTGTAATGAACCAGAAGAACTGTGTGTCGCCCGGAGCTGTGTTTCTAACATTAGCTATTGCTAGTTGGATGCCAGCCAGCTTGGCATCGTAGGGGGTGTGGTTTTCTGCTTCGCCTATTCTAATGCGAAGTGGCAGAGAGTTAGCATCAAGGGTGAGTGCTGCGGCTCCCACCCCTTTCCCAGGGATATGTGATCCGTCGCTGGAGGAAATAACTGTGTTAGCTGGGCGTTCGGTAATGTTTTGCAGCGTAAAGATCACTGCCTCCTCTTTGGAGGAGTGGATCAGTCCGGTGATTCGGTCGTCGGTCTTCAAGCCTCCCTTGACGGGGTCTAAGGCTTCAGGTAAACCTGGGAGTGCTCTACACGCGTTGAGAGGGTGTGCAAGTGCTTGGTGAATTGATGAGCGGTGTGTTTTCCTGTTCCTTTTGAAAATAGTTTTAACCAGCTTCGCTGCCGGGTTGGAGTCTGGGAGTTCTAAAAGTCGAAGGATAGCCATGTCTGTTTCGGTGTCAAGTCTGGCATGAGCCGGCGCCGAATGTGTGTCGTGGCGTAGGAAGGGGGTGGGGTGAGTTCTGAAAACGCCCAAAGAAAATCGGTAGGCGATGTGGTCTATCCTCTGGAGTTTGCTAGCCGGTGCCGTGGTCTTGCCAAACGTGTGTCAGACCGCACAGGCGTAGTCTAATCTGGAGTGGATCAGGGAAGATGTAAGTTGTAAGCATTGTCTGAGTGGGATTCCCCAGCCAGTTCTGGCCAGGCTCGCCAGTTTGTTGGCTACTTTGACCCCTTTAGCAATTTGGGCATTGATGTGTGTCGTGAATTTGAGTTTTGGATCTATAAGAACGCCCAACCACTTGATGAGCGGTTGAGGCTCGAGTTCCACGTCCCCAAGTTTTATGGTCGGAGTTTGGTTTGGAGGTTTCTTATGCGTTAGCACCATCCATTGGCTCTTGGCCCTGTCGAAGGCGGCTCCATATTGGCTGCCCCAGGCAAGTTCCCTGTCTGCAAGGGTTTGGAGTTGTGAGGTAACTTCCTCCAGGGTAGGTCTTGCGGTGGCAAAAGCGACATTGTCTATGAAACCTAGGGATATTGTGTTAGCGACCCCATCTGCTTGTCTAAGCAGCGGTGTATTATAGAGAATGTATAAAATAACAGAGAGCGGAGAGCCTTGGGGTAGGCCAATTGTGAGTTGTTTTGGTTCCAATTGGTAGTCACCCAGTTGGAATGTTGTAGTGCGGCTGTCTAAGAAGTTAGTCAGTAGGTTTGTAATGCTTTGGTCAAATCCCATCTCTCCCAGGGTGTGGCAGAGCCTGGTAGGGTTGACGGTTGGGAAGGCTGCTTTGACGTCTACAAAAAGTGTCCCAACTACATTGCCTCTAGCCCACTGGTTTTTAGTCCAGATTGTTAGGTTGAGGAGAGCGTCTGTTGTAGATCTTTTGGCGCGACCACCGTAGTGGCCTTCCGGAAGAATTTGATTTGTTTTGGCAAAGTTTTGCATGTTTGCAGCAATTGTTGCCTCCAAGACTTTGCTGAGAGAACTCAATAAAGCAATTGGTCGGTACGCTGATGGGTTGGTGTAGTCTGGTTTGCCCGGTTTCTTGAGTATAATTGTATTAGCGGTCTTCCACTGGGACGGGTAGCGGCCTGTGGTAAGACAAGCGTTCAGTAAAGTTTTCAGCAGTTCAGCCAGGTTCTTTGGTGCTTTCTTGATGGTCGCGTTTGTGATGCCATCAGCTCCAGGGGCTTTTCCGATTTTCAGTTTGTTGATTGAAGTTTCAATGTTGGATTTGGAAAAGGTTAGCGCGGAAGACGCCAGCTGTTGGGGTGGTCCTATGTCTGATAAATCACAAGGTATGGTAGGTCCCCCTGTTGCTTGGAAAAGCAGCTCTGCCTGCTCCTCTGGGACGCTCGTTAGTTGACCGTCTCCCTTTTTTAGAGGAGGAAGGGTTTGTGAGGCAGTGGGCCCGTTGGTATATTTGGCTGCTGTGAAGAGATCTTTGGCAGATAAGTTAGCTAAGAAAGAGCGCCAATGCGCTACCTTGGCCTCTTTGCAGGCCGCCTGGAATTTATGCAGGGCTGCACGGTAGAGGACTCGGTCCTCCCTTGTGCCCGTGCATTGAGCTTTTCTTTGTAGGTTATTGGCATGACCCTTCATTGGATTGAGTGTTTCTGCACACCACCAGCATCTAGAACGTTAAGTTATTTTGAGCATAGGGGTGGACAAAGTTATCGCCTGTTTGATTGCTGACGTGATATTAGAGGCAAGGTTGTCAATGTCGAATTGAGAGCGTAAAGGGTTGAGTTCAGTGGTGAGGTTGGAGAGTGATGTATTCAGTGTATCGTGGTATTTTCCCCAGTGGGTTTTGGCCCAGTTGGGTCTCGGGTTTGGGCTTGAAGTTTTCCAGCGGGTTGGCTGGTAAATCTAGCTCTGTGAGAATTGCCATGTGGTCTGAAAAGTGTGAATGTTTGAATTGGGTGTCCGTGACACAAGTTGTAGCCCAGTCGTAGCATTCCGGTGATGTCCACTGTAGATCAACCGTTGTTTGACTACCCTGAGCGTTGTTTGATGTGAAAGTTGGAACACCAGCTTTGGATCTGAGGAGAAGCCCGGCGGTGTTCATGATTGAGATGAGGTCTTCCGACTCTCTGTGAGTGTGGGCGTACCCCAGGGAGTTCCACATTGGATGGTGCAGGTCGGAGTCCATGCCTAGCAGGACTGGGTTGGGCCGGAGCTCTCCTAGGATAGGCATGAGCTGCCCCATTGTCCGAGCCTTGCCCGGCGGTAAGTAGGCTGAGATGAGATTGAGTGGTGGGTGTGGGAGAGGGAGGGCAACCGTAACTCCTGCTATCAAAGCAGAGTTGGTTGCTATTGGAGCAAAACTATAGTTGGGCAGTTGATTGTTGACATAGATAACACTTTTTATACGGGTGTTGCCTTCTAGTGATGGCAAGTCTTTCATGAGTGGTGGTATTGTGTGCCAGTTGGGGTCTGACATAGGTAAATATGTGGCCCAGTTGAGGTGCGGTTCTTGGAGTAAGAGAAAATGAAATGAACGTGTGATTGAGGAGTTGAAAAGTGAAAACATGACTTTTTCGGACCTATGTACATTGAGTTGCAGGACCTTTATTGGGTCCCTGTTTGCCCTGCCTTCCGTTGTGCTAACGGACGGCATGGGTGGTGTTGGTCTTTTTCGTAACAAGGAAGAAGTCCCTGTTACGGTTTGGGGCGGCTTTAGCTCTGCGGATAGGGCAATTGGCAGCTAAGGATGAATGGGTAATGGGGGGCAGGGCCTCTTTGGGGATGTCTGAGGTGCAAAACTCTGGTGTTGTTAACCGTTTCATTTCAACATAAGCTATGACACAGTTAACACAGTGAGATTTCCCGTTTCTGGAGGGAGGAGTATTACAAGCCTCTGTGGCGTGGTCGCCAGTACAAGTTGCACATCTAGGGGTATTTGGACATTTGGATTGTATGTGGCTGAATTCTTGGCAAGAGAAACATTGGGTGGCCCCTGCTGATCTTTTAGATCGCTCAGTAGTTTTCAGTTCACCTTTGAAGCTGATTTTATTGACAATTACCGCGTTGGCGTGTTCAGGGTTAGTGAGGCTGATGAAAATTGAGGAGAACGGTTTGGCAATGGCCAGTGAGTGCGTGTTTGCCCATTTCATGCTTTCGAAGGAGTCTAGGAGACCCGCATTCTCCGAGATTAGGTTACCAACCTGTGCTTCATTTCTAATGTCAAACATGGTGGGGATGCCATGGACCATGATTGTAAAGATTTTGTTCTTTACTTTAAGCTTTGAGTTCAAGAAAGGGAGCCAGTTTGCCTCGCCTTCCTGGGCCTTGATTGCATTGTTTTTATCTAAGAATTGGAGGTTGATTTCCCCCGTTCTATGGTTTCTTGTGAAGCCCCTGATTGTTGGGGGGCTTGCTGGGTCAACCGCCGCTAAGGCTCGGTTGATTCTCTTAGTGAGGTCTTCAGGTTCTGTGTTGAGTTCCTCCTTGCCGTCTCTGCTGGTTTGTGCCAGTGTGAGCATTGGTAAACTAGGGGGAGATGGTTGTTGTCTTGGAGCTTTCGGCGCTTGGTTTGGTGCGTCAGTCGCAGGTTGGTTTTCAGAATTTTTTGTCGCATTGGCAAAGGATGTCGGTTGGTTGGGCGTGCTGAGACGTTCAACACGCTCGGTGATAGTGGCCATAGTGGCTGCGTTTTCAGTGAACAAATCGTTCATCTTGGTTTCCATGTCTTGCAAACTGGCATGGACTCCAGCTAACATGGTTTCTGGAGCCAGTTCCGGCGCAATAGCAGCCTTAGCCGTGGCTAGTCTGTGGCAGAAATTGACCAGCGTCTGGACTTTGTTGAAACCGACCCGGTCACATTTGAATGTGACCGGCCCGCCTGGTTGGTTCCCAGTGGGCCTGCTAGGGAGGAGATCCCAGCCGTTGCCGATTTTGGATTCAGAGCTTGAAGCTGTCGCTTGAGCTCTCCCAGAAGTTCAGGCAGATTGCCTGCAAAGTCTTCTCCCACCCAGTCGACGATACGTTGTCTTTTGGGGGTGAGAGGAGTGGTAGGGAGGGTGGTTGTTGCCAGTCGAGTGATGTTTGGATCACTTAGGAGGGTCGAACCGCCCATCGGGTTGGGGTTGGGAGTTGGAGTATCCATCTCTGCCCTGAGACCGAGGCCTCTCGGTGGTACCATGCCGGTAGTGACTTTCTACAAGGAGGAAAGAGGTGGAGTGGTGAGAGAAAAAGTTGTTGATGATGGGATCAAAATTTTTGGATGGTTGCTTGCGCAGTCACGCTTCTGGTCACGTGATATTACGAAAAAATCTGTACGAGCCGGAGTAGCGTTTAGTCTATGTTAACCTTTATTCCACCCGTACTTCACCTTTTTAGTGAAGAGTCAGCCAAAAAGTAGCTGACCCCTCACACTAAGTCAACCTCAATTAGATCTTGGCCCTGTTATGCAGTCAAGTACAATTTGCCCCTTTTAATTTGATTTGTTTGGAAGACTGAGTCTTTGAAGTCAATATATATTATCATAACTAACAACTACAAAATGATTGAGATTACATTTGTAAAATGTGGTCATAATGCCACAAAATATGCTACATTCAAAGATATAATAGGTACCAAGAAAATGTAGCACTATATTTTGGACACACAACCTGGATTTTCTTATGCATCCCTTGAAATGCCTGTTGAGTGAAATGCATTAGGCATTGTGACTACCTGTGTTTGGCTTACAATAAAACCCCTGTAAGGAAAGGAAATGATAGAATCACAAATTTGGGTTAATTTTGGAACTTGGGCGCTAAAACTTGGGATCCACCAAGCCATGAAACATGCTAAAAAAATAAGCAACAAATTTATTGGCACCAAGATTTCAGCTTTAAAAAATTCAAATGTTTATGCACCCATTGGTTCAAATGGCAACATATATCAATTTCACTCTCAAATGGTCGGTATATGTAAAATGATTAGGCAAAAATTTTATTGAAGCAACAATTTGAACTTAAAAGCCAAGTCTGAACCAAGTTTTTCAATATGCTTTCCATAAATTAGGAAAATCGATTAAAGCAATGCATGCACCTTATCACAAGCACAGCTCTTTTACTTGATAGCATGCGTTGCAGCATTGAAAGTGAGGGACCCTGCTGGTGTACAGATTGGGATTGTTTACTCATATTTAAAAACTTAGGCAAACTAATACCAAGACCTACATGGAAAACAAAAGCAGCTACCTTTGAATATCATTGAACAAGCCCCTTCAATTAACAAATATTCCAAACAAAAGACAAATCACAGTGCACATATTGGGATTTTAATCTGAAACTGCAAAGACCATTCTTATAATGTCTTCAACAAAGCCTACACTGTTAGATCAAATCTTGCTTCAAAGCTGGAGTCCAGGGTTGTGATTTTAAAAACCGCTCTTGGCTTCCATAAAATAAACATGAGTCGGTCCTCTTTTCTGGCACTTGATTGAAAAATAACAATTAACAATATCTTGATTGTTGTGAAGATTGCGCTGAGATGAGATTGACCCTTGAGACCTATTGAATTGAGGCCAAGCTGCAGAAAACACGTTCAATAAATCAGAAATCCAAATCATGGTAAAAAGAAAAAAAAGGTAGGCAGAAGATATGATCTACTTCTTGGAATTGGAAGGCTAAAGCAAAAAAAATATGGTCAGAGCCCAGGCTTTATACACAAGAAATGTTTGGTACCTTACTTTTCAGTTTGAATTACGAAGATCTTGGGAGCCAAAACATTTAGGGTGCAAATTCTCTGAAATTTGACAGAGGGTTTTGCAGAACAACAGATACCAAAATTTTGGTGTGATCTGTTGTTCTGTTGCTCTGTCTGCCTTGATATTTGCAACAAACAACAGATCTTGCCAAATTTTGGTACAATATAATAATCTAAGCGCAGAATACAAATAGTATGACTACTGAACGGAATTACAACTTTGACCTTGTGACTGTGCAAAACGAGGAAAACAACATTAGTCACTTCGTTATTGGTCTCATGATCAAATTGACAGGATACTGCATCAGTGCATTTTCTTACTTACAAATGTAAACTATTGACAATCTCATTATATTGAATCTTTGCGAACTTAAATAAGCACTTTCATCTGGCAAAAGGCAACATGTGCCAGACTTTTCAGAAGTTCCAACCAAAACATACACAACAACTAGAATATAGCAACATATGATTTCCACACAACTCCTACGTCAAGCAACAAGATACGATTTCATGTGCAGAAAAGAGGAACAAAGATCTCGTTGGAACCACCAATCCACAGACATTCTTGTGGATTGGCCCAACCAACACTGAAGAAGCAATATCCGTCACTCAAAAGTCAACACACAAACACATACCATTGATCTCAAAGCCAAAAAACTGGTGATGTCCATTAACATCCCACTAACCAGAACATACATTGACACAAAGAGATTAGTTTAAAAATCAAATTGAGTTTGGCAAACCAGGGGTATTTGAACTTATCACTCGGATAGGCAAGATAAAACATATGAAGCCAACACATGTGAGTTCCAACACGACCCAATTCTGAACAGCTCTGAAACTGAAGTTCATCTTTGTGTTGAATGTCTAAACTTGATTTGGTGAATGGATTCTGCAATCACGTTCTTCACCAATTGAAGTGTGGAGAATAAAAATTGATAATTCAGAGGCTTGAAAATGCAAAGTTCCAAGCACTTTGAACAACACATCCCTCTGACATAACATGAAAGTATGAAGATGAGGTCCAGTAAGCCATCAGAATCCTGCAACTACTCCCTGCAATTGAATTAGTGTGAATTATTAAATACATACCAACAATTGAATTTTGCGCAAACCCTAACTGCGTTGCCTGTTGTTTAATGGTTGTGAAGATCGTGACTTATTATTGTCTTGGTTCATGAAGGCCTTGGAGCACAAATGCAGAAAATCATGGGTCAACAAAACTTGAGTTGGATGACTTTGTACCTAGATGTGCCATGAGTCTCAGACTGACGTGATTTTTGTCTGTACCTCCCTTCTTCTCCTCTGCACTACCATTGTACATTTTTTGAAGTTACATCTGAAAAGCATAGCACCAAACTCATGCCTCCAAGAGCTGCAGTCCGGCAACAAGATCATGGGCCTGCAGTCTGTGCTGAAGAATTTGCATCTACGGTGAACCCCTGTATCTTTTTTTGTGGGGAGATCCCTTGCAGCCTTGGACCTCAACATGATCAATGCACAGGCTGTAGCACAAGAAAGACGACTTAAAAATACTAGACTCCTTGGAACGACTTTTTGAAACTGTTGTAACCATGGCCAAGTGGACTTGCCTTTGAGATACTTCCCACAAGACATTGGGGAGCAGATCCCAGAGTTTTATAGGGACCTTTTAAGAAGCAGTGACACGAGTAAGTTATTGATTTTGATTAAAAAGACTTTTGCTAATAACAACATCTTGACAGGATCGAGGAAATTTCAAGAAGACATTCAAAAGCACAACAACAGCCTATTGTTCCCTTCCTTGGGTGCGCAAATTGACGACAGTGTTATAGGACAACCCGGCCATACTATATCTTGAATTCAAGGCCAGATGTTTCATTATATTGGTTCATTGATACCAGTGCCCCCAAATCATCCAGGATTTGCTCAAATATACATTTATGGCCCCGGCGGCAAACGTGAAGCCCAACAAAGAATTGAAGCTACAGGTGTATCACGCTTAGATTTAGAAATTATGCTTCAACTTCAAGAATTCATGTACCAAGTTAGTCCTTATGCCCAACAATTTGAATCAGCAAGGGAGATATTTGACTCAACAGGTCCCATATGCACACTCAGAATTAACACTCTTACGGTACCCGGAACTGACCATTGGAGATACAACCGCCCAACTGCCAATGAGGTTGCCGTGATTATTGAAGGCAATGGGGAGATTGCCCGACACGGACAAGATATCATCTTACAGCGACAATCCAGTATTATAGAGCCAATCTCGGAACTCCACACAGCCTATTTTGCCTTACATTATCCACTTTTATTTCCATATGGATCTCAAATGTGGCATGACGCTTATACAAATCCCACTGAAGATGGTAAGCAAGATTTTTAGTGCCTTTTACTTCAAAAACTCAAACTGACCCACTGGAATTAAACATTGGATCCTGATGGAACAGTCACTTGTTTGAAGTGGTTTGCTTTCCTCCTCTTCAAGCGACCAACATACTCCGTAATCCTGGCCTCAGGGCCTCTTTTTCAAGAACTTGTTGTGGACATGTATGTTTGTGTCGAACATGAGCACTTAAAATTCATATGATTTCACCAGAGAGAACTCAGAGCTCAGCTTTACAGCGGAGTAGTGGAAGCAGTTGTTGGCCGTCGTGTAATTTCACCCTCAAGCTTTATAGGTGGACCTTGCAACATGCAAGCTTTGTACCAGGATGCGATGAGCTTAGTGGCAGAATTTGGACATCCAAGTTTATTTATAACAATGACTGCAAATCCGAATTGGAGTGAGATCACAGAAGCGCTTGAGGAGGACCCTGGCTGGCCCCCTGGGAACCCAGGTATGAATTTAGAATAAAATGAAGGCAAAATTTGCCTCATCCTACATATGATAGAAGAATGAAATTCAAATTTTACGAGTAACATAGTGATCTGGGAGAATAAACCTAAGTCTCCCAAAATTGACAAAAAATCAACATACATATGAATTAAGAATGAGCTGCAGGGGGGAAAGTCTGAGAAAGTGCGTCTCAGAAAGACAAAAATATCACCTCACCAAAAATATCTTCTCTAGAGGCACTCCTGCATGTATCAAACCCCAAACCACCTGAATCAATGCCTTCAAGTCCCCCACTTGATCAACCAGAGACCATCACTTTAATCTTGGATGATCATGCAATGAAATTGTCGATGTCCTCATCACTGATAGGCTGATCCTCTTTGAAACCTTTGCAGGTCTTTTACTCAAACTTGATGAATTTTGACATTCCGCTCGAATAACCGCCCAAGGTACTCTTTGCCCAGCCACTCAATGCCGCGTGCTTCCCGGCTTCCGATGCTTTTGACTTTGCTGCCTCGAAGTGTTTTGGGAGACGAGCCACCCCTTCCTCATGCCTCTTCTCTTGTTTCCTATTAGGCATCTCCGTGGTGGATATTTTGATGGATCAGAGGTTGGGTGCTTTCCAAGAATTGGAGATGGAGAGATGGGACTTGTTGCCTTGATGGGGCGAAATGGGAACAATTGTGTTTTTCTCTTTTAAAAACTAGGGAGTCTCCCTTTTATTCTTGCACAATGAATGGTCTCAGATCTGACGGGACTCTAATTAATACAACATTAGACACTTGTTTCAACAAATCAAAGCCTCTGGCCAACAACAAATCGGCTGCGTTATCTTCCGACCGCACTCGTTTTTGTCTTATGCAGCAATTCAGCCAGAGCATTTCGTCTTGAACCTTCATCCACTCTTGATTGACTCAACGGTTCTTAGACTTCCCGTTCCTTATTGCACCCTCAGTTACCACGTTGTCTGTGAGACATAAGATCTCTTTCCCCTCTACTGCCATGATTGAGGTTACCATCAAGAAGCCAAGGCAGACTGCTACCGTCTTGGCCCAAGCTATGTCTCAAATGGATCCGTTTTCTTTGCGTGAGTTTTCATTCCAGCCTCTCCTCAGCCTAAAACAAGCCCACTTCTTACCCACTATTATGCCTATCCCAAAGGACGTCGACGCATCTCCTACCCAGCCCACGTTCACCACCTCCGGCCATGGTATCATTCGTCAAGGGTTTGCTGTTCTCAGAACCCGGCGCCATATTGCCATGTCCTTGAGGATCTCTTCTGGGATTTCTCTTGCCGCAAATTTGTGCACCCACTCCGACATCCATCTATAGATAGCCATGCAATGGCATTGGAGCTGGGGATACACCAGGGAAGCATGCATCAATCTTCCTACCATCTTCTTGGCATCTTTGTAAGTTGCCTTTCCATCCTTCACAAATTCCTGGATCTGAGATAGTTGTTTTTCTATTTTTTCTTCTGGGATTCTGACCGTCTTCACTTTGCCATCCCAGATCAACCCTAGATATTTTTGTACATGACAGAATTCTCTCCACTTCTTGGAGTTCGTGACCACCCCCATCTCTTTGCTAGCATCCGCTACGTCCTTCATTGACGCACTGTTTAACCCGTCATCCCATTTGATGAACAGTGTGTTGTCAACCCATCAAAAGGCTGCCTTGAAACCAAATTTAGACATCATTATTGACTTCCAAGCGTCAGCGGCCTGTCCGAACGTGCCACATCCCGCCACGCCTCCAAACGTCACCCGCATATCCAGTAACAAATTTCCATCCAGATCAAGCACCATTAGATAAGGCCACTGTAACTCTTTTGTTGGGATTTGATGGTAGGCTTTTGCCCAGTCAAAGATCCCCAACAAAAAGGTTCCGTCCGTGCTCAACATGAACTTCGCCACCCTGGGCAAATTGTCCCAAGACGTCTTGAAATTGTCTTCATCAACGAGTGCATTTACTGAATTGATATACGAATCTCGCCTTGGGAAAGAGAGGTCGTTGATCAGCCTCACTGGCCCATCACCGTTTACCACTGTGCCTAAAGGATTTGTTTGAAAGAACCCTAATTGTTGGAACACCTCTTCCTTCAAAAAAGGCCCGTACATTACTCCAGCCGCTATTTCTTGAGCTAGATTGTCTCTCACCTCTTTCTCCCCATCTTTCACTGACTTGTGGTTTTCTGGGCAAAAATAGTGCTTCCCGTGGATTGGTACTTCTGGTATGCCTTGGTCAAAACCGTTGGTGAAACCTCTTAGGACAAATTCGTGTGTCTCAGGAATGTCTGCGTTGCGCAACTCCTGTCTCCATTTGTCAAGATGCATTTTGCATTTCACCCCTATGGGCCAGTCTCTCCCGATCGGCTGGATTTCTAGATGCTTTACTCGTTGCTCAGTATCACCCATGCTAATTATCATGAGTCCCAGGGAAAACAGGGTTCAGGTGTAGGGAAACAAGGAGGCAAAACATAGTCAGGAATGAGGCTCTTTAAATCTCAACAAATTCTCTCAGGGTACGGGTGCCAAGGTTGCGCGTAATTGAGAGGTATGCGCTTGTCACAATATTTCATTTCAAGACTCTACGAGAAACTCCACTTTGTGGATGGGAATATCATACTCACTGGTACTTCGATTTTCCGCCTTTCCCTTTGGCTCTCCTGCTATCATAACGATTAGGGCTTCTGCTCCTGCTTCAAGCCCAACAATTGTCTCTTCTATCACCTCCTTTACTACGATCGTTATAATCCGACCTTCTCCCTCGTGAGTCTTTCATTTCCTTCCAATCCACCCACTTTCCCTCCGCCTTTAGCTTTGCTTCCCACTTGTCTGGGGGTAACCGAGACTTGCGTTTTCCGCTTGAAAATGCCTCTAACCTCCCCGTATTCTCTTGCGTTCTCCTCAAGGTATTCCCACTACCTCCCGCTTTCAGCCTCGGCAAACCTGACTCTGGATCGAGGTGTTCCTTGGTTCCACCTGGTGAGTAAGGGTTTGATTGACACGCTCTTTCACCCAGATTGTCGCACACCAGCTTCACCTCCTCCAGGATTGTGCGTTGGACTTTGGAGACATTTACAATCTCTCCCCCAACCGTTGTCCGCATCACCCCCTCCCGCACTCGCTTACAATATCTAAGCGCCACCATCCACCCCATGGTGTTCCGAAGTTCCACCACAATCTCCTTGTGCTTTTTCAGGTTTTCGGACAGAGTGATCCAGCCAGTGTTGAGGATATAATGTGAGAACAGAGTGAAACAGTCTAGTCATTGTTTGTATTGCATGGTTAGCTCGTCCATGGGAGGATCACCTCCATACATTCGCAGGTTTGTCCCCCCTTGTTTAGTTTTGACTCTGATGGTGGCTCTGTCCCTTCTCTAGCTTGTTGGTCACAAATCAACCATAATTTATCAAACACGGGAAGTGGCACATACGCCTTGAAAGTTTGGAGGTAGTGCGCCAAGACCGGGCTGAGGGACGGTAGGGACTTCTCCAACTGCTTCATTTTATCTTTCAGCATGAGTCTGCCATTCTCTATTATGTCTCCATTAGCTAACACCATGCAACCTTTCCCAGACTCAAGCATTGCTTTTGCTTTCGAGGCTTTGTCACCAGTAGGATCCCTGTCGGCGGTCTCCCTCTTGTGATTTGTCTCGGCAGTTCTAGGCAGCTGTTCAGCCAACAAGGGAGGTCCACGGTCCAAAAACGGCAACGGTCGTTCCTCATGCAACCGGTATGATGATGGTAGTTCATCTTGAGGTTCAATAGGAACCGTTTCAACTCGATGCGCAATAGGGTGTGCGACTTCTCTTTCCTCATTCCTACCCACTGTTGAGAACTCCAACATTTTCTCTTGGATTAGTCGATGTGGACTGGGCCGCCTGTCTGGTCTAGGATCTGGCGCATGAGGTTGGTGGTCTCCTTGACCGTTTGGAGTACGTTCACTGATGGGTTTGTTGGCCGCTTGTTCTGTGAGATTTGCGAGTAGAGATGTCCCCGGGGCGTAATTTTGAAAAACAAACGCCTCCTGGACTTGGGCTTGTAATAACATTACCCGGTCACCGTGAGCTGTTACAGTCAAAAGAATCAACACATCTCGTAAGTACCCATGTTGCAATCTTCATGCTGCAATCGACATCAATTCGTCTGACACTCTCACCATTGAGCCACACCTTGTTATCAGCCAGGCTAGCTTGCCCATGTCAACTGACTGGGTCTTACGTGGACTTATCGAGGACTGCCACACATATCATGTGATATAAACACAACCTCATTCATAACTTATGATGGTCAAAATTGTATGTCTTCAGGTTCCTATGTTTCCAAGGGTGTAGTATAGCTGATATTCACATAACATGGAAGCAAAAGAGCAGCATAGCAAAAAGTGGAATTGGCAGGGAAATTGGATATGAGGAAAGTAGTGAATCAACTAAGAAATTGCTTACACAAGTCCTCATCTTCTGGATGTAAGTTTGTCTCTTCCTCCGATAGAGGCTCTTCTCTCTTCCCTTTCCCCTTGCTCATACCGTTCTGGGGTAGCCAGGCGTCGTGTTCTGTATCAGAACTTAGCTCGAGCTCCAGTATTGCTACCCCATCGACGCCTTCCTTGGTAATTGTTCCAAGTTGTTCACCAGCTAGTACCACCGAGTCTGCGTCTGCTGGTTCCGTTGGTGGCAACTGTTGCTCTAGATTTACACCTGCTGGTGCGGTAAGGTTCCGATCAACAACCGTCTGGGGAGCGTTGGTTTGGTTGGTGTCCGTGGACACCTCCGGTTGGCTGGTATTTGTACTTGGTCCTGCCGTCGCGGAAGGCTCGTTTGTCACAGGTGTTGCGTTAGCTGCCGCCATAGCTGGTGTTACCCTCTCTAGATTTGCCTCTGCTCTTGCCAATCAATCCTCCATTGATTTATTTGGCTTATCCATTTTTTTCCTTTAAATTTCTTGTTGTTATGAAATCTGAGTTCTTGCTGTTTGTTTCTCCTTCCAATGTTTTTAATTAATTTTTAAATTTTATGTTTGTGGATAATCCGGAACTTAGTCAAATGGATAAGTGTGATCAATTTTGAGCTTGAGGAAAAAGAGTGGTCTGTGTACGGTGAAAAAAGTCTGCGTAAGAATTTTCACGATTATTCTTGACGCGGACCAGCGCGGACCACCGACACATCCACTCAGGGCTTGACCTCAGCTCCACTAAGTCCCCCTGGGCTTTCAAACCAAATTGTGCCGACAGGGTTCTCTCAAGGCATGTCCTAGTATAACAAGCACAATTAGCTCTTAGTGATAGTCTTGGAAACACATAATATGAACAATAAAAATATTGTAAGGGATCAGTTACTAACCTTCGACATGTTGACCACATTAGACTGAATGTCATTGAAAATGGTGGTAGCTGCCCGTGCTGCCCACACACTTGATCAAAGAGACATTGAAACATTGGCCATTTGGAAGGCGGCTCGAAGTGGATGATCATCCATGCGTGCCCACAGTAATGTGTGTTGGAGAAGCCAGATTACCATCACCCCATTCAAAGTTTCAAGACAAAACTTTGTCTTTGGAAAAAAGGTGTCAAGTGTGGCATTTGGTTTTGAACTTTTAGCAGCTGCAGCAACATGTTTGGGGTAGGTTGGCGGCAGATCAAGAATCGTCTTTCCAGCCAATCAACACCCCAGACAAACTGGACATGATTCAGTCCCATCTCTATGTCCTTTGAGATTAGACAATCCAGCAGGCCCTTTTGCAAACACTCCAGTACACCATTTGCAGTGGTAGCCTCTCTTGATGCCCGTGTCTTCCTGGTGATAGATCATTTTCATTATGATTTACAAAGCAACGAGGAGATGATAAGTAAGTTTGAGAGCTTTCTTACCTTGCCTTTGACAAAATCTGGGTCTTCAAAGTAATTTTGAACACCTTCAATGTCCTCCTGATATTGGATGCAAATCCCCTTGAATCAAGTAGAATTCTTGGGTTGAGTGTCTACGTTGTCCTGGTCTACATCGATAACATTGGGAACTGGGATGTGCTGGGTAGAAAAAGAAATCAGAAAAGATACATCGTGATTTAATGATGCCACTGCACTAACTTTATTAGTCTGGCCTTGCTTTACTTGATCTTGCGAGTCCAACGGTCCAGATTGCCTACGTCTTTTACCCTTATTCTTTCAAGTATCTGGGGTAGGTGATTGTTGAGATTCTGCGTCAATGTTGGATTTGCCTTGATTGTGAGAAGAAGATGATGGTGATTTGTCCTTGTCTTGATTACGAGTTGATGAAAGAGGTGACGGCTGATTTTGAGAGAGTGACAAACAAGAATCTGGTGAAGTTGGAATCATATTGGTGGATACAACGGTTGCACACGCTTGTGTGCTTTGACGTAATGGGGTAATAGCTGAAGCGGCTGGTGGGCAAAGAAGTAAAGTGGAAGGTACTGAAGACATGATAGAGATGATATCAGGCAGGATTAGGCAATGAAAATGGATGTTTGTTGACTATAAAGGTAGATAAAGAGTGAGAGATATTTGGTAAGATTTTGGTGTGACAATTATGGAAGTAAAGGAAAGGTAAACAAATGGCAAACAATCAAGAGGGGTGATGAAGGGCAGGAAGAGGGAAAATATGGAAACTAGTACTGACCTTGTATGATCTAGCCCCTGGCTTGAATGTCAAATGTTTTGGGTACAATCGATTGGGAATTTGATACATCTTTGAGGGTTTGAGAGTGGTTGCTTTGAGCGTCAGTTGCCTAAAGAGGACAACAAACTCAAGGAGGTGAGGTGTTTACCAGCCCCAACGTCACAGTGCTCGGGGTCCGGTAGCCCTGTATAGTGCTACATGTAGCGCTTCAGAGCGTTCCAGAGTGCTATATGTACGCGCGCTACGTTATAATGGCTCAATAAAGTTGGCCCAAAATTCTTTGTCAACAGATAGCGGCCGGGTATACAACTACAAATATAGCGCTTGGTGCTCCGCTAAGCGCTACATGGTGCTATTTATAATGGGCCGGACGGACGTTGATTGGATTCAGTTCCCTGAACTGATCTTATGTAAATCTCTCTTCTTTGTCCCTTTTAAAACACTTTCACCCTTTTTTCTACCTATTTGATTCATCAAACATTCTTGAACATCATTCTCACAAAAAAACGCTCTTGATTCTCAATCTCACTTCAAATCCCAAACCACTGATTCATTCTACAACAATTTCTCCCAAATTTTGACCATCTTGTAAATAATCATCATCTAACCTTCTCTGAATTCACATTCAATTAGCACTTCAGATTATTCTGATCACTCAAATCTAAAAATTTTTGCAGTTTGTAAGATATCAAGGTAAATTCTTATCTATCTTCATATTTATTCTTTATACAACCACCATCCTTAATTTCCTAGATTAGTAGCCATGCTTTCAGTATCCTACCCTAGAATCCTTCTACCTACATTTTTTCCTTGAGTACTTCCATACGCTCAGGAAAACTTTCATAGGGGAATGTATTTCCAACCACCATCTTGATGGTGTTGAATTTTTTCCTTCAGTACTTCTGTACGCTCAGGAAATCAAACAACTAAAAGAAAGATGCATGGTTACTGCATCGTTACGAAGCCCAGGAATGATTCCGATTCCGGGTGTGACATCTGATCAGGAATGCGGGGTCTATCCCGCCGTGAAACTCTACACATGCTCAAATGCGTGCTGCATCGTTACAAAGCCAAGGAATTATTCCGATTCCGGGCGTGACATCTGACAAGGAATGCGGGTTTTATCGCACTGTGGACCTTGACATATGTCAAAATGCGAAACTCCAGGGCAATTTCTCCCTGTTGCGTCGCACTCTTCAGCCACCACATTCCGTAGCCTCTGTGAAATCCCCAATGTTGCGTAGTACTTCTCGCCTAATTACTTACCATTCCCCCGCGCGGTGTGGGACCCCCTTTCGCAAGACACGTCTTACGCACTTCAGCTGTGCATCGTGGTGTCCACAACCGTATGAGTGCCGGTATGGCTACGTTCTACTTCACAGCTACGGCCACTTTTCATTTTGTCAAGGGGCTTCTCCATCTCTTACGCACCTCAGCTCGGCCCTGTTAGGCTAATGACCACATGAGTCCCTTTATGCTGCGCGGAGAACTACCACGGTATCAATGTCAGGGTCTCGACGGTGACAACGCCGCGCTGTCGAAGCTATTCCAGACGCTGAGCTCCCTGAACCTTCAACCCCCAAGGATGACGTCAACCTTGAATACAATTTGTGCTTACAGTCGCCTCGGTTGAAGAAATGATACATAAGAGACCCACAATGGAAAACGATATACTGCAAGGAGTGCTTCTTTTCTATTGCGTTATATCACATTCAACGCTTCTTACTCAGCAATACGTTTTTCAATTTCATCGGCGTACCGTGTCACGCTGTCCAACGCTATTTGTACACCGTTTCTTTCGACCAATATTTCACGAGTCGAGAACCGTCCCGTGTTGCATAGTGTGCGCATCAATTATACCGGAGAAGCTGGCAAACCAGTGAGTTAGGTTCCCTGTCTTCAGACAATATCAAATGCTATAGCGATTCTGACGGAATACAATAGGGAACCGTTGTCGGGCCGGCCAGCAAGGGTTTTTTATCTCACCTCGCCTTGATTTTGACATCTGGAATGAATGGCTCACAACCGTTTGCGAATCCGCTGTACTTAACTTCCTATGGCCCTGCGATCGATTCGTTGAGTGAAGGATCTCTGTATAGCATGACGTGTAAGATGATTGGCTCCAATGACCATAATCACAACCACTTCCACTTCAAAAATTCCAACCGCATCAATTTTGGAACCACCGAAGCTTTAGGCAACAATGTACCAGAGGACTTGATTGATAAGATTACTATGATTGCAATGGGAGTTATTGTTGCAATTGATACCGTGAAAGATCCATTGTACAAAGGGAAGACGACGGTTATCGCGACGTTGAAACATACGGATTATGACCCATTTGTAAGTCAAGGCTCTTGATGCGAAACATTGATGCGCTATTGACTTTGTCTCCAGACCCGCATGAATGTTTCGTGGATGACGCAACACCACATACCTCCGATCCGTAATATGGAACGCGCACAGGTCCTCTGTGTTATCGGCCGCGAGGTGCAATTCACAGGTCTCATCCGAGATTACGATGTCGACAAGTTTATGTGGGCATGTGAAGTATGTGCTTCTATATTTCCTTGGAGAACATAGCTGACGATGTGTAATCAGGTGAATGCCATCAGTGTCACTAGCGGTCACTCGGCCAATTCCAAGACGTCCCCGAAGGCACCCGGCAAACCAGGCAACGGCAGAACGCCCTCGACGATGTAAGTCGTTTCCCATGCATTGAGCCACTACTCGGAATTGACGTGAGTTACATGCAGGCGACCCAAAGTCACTGCCGGCCTGCAAAGCAGAACGCTGTTATTGAAATCAGACACCGACGTCTCAGCCTCTGTGTCAGGTGAAGGGAGCGGTAGTGCTGCAGAGACAGAGGCGAGTCTAACAATGGAGGTTGCTGCCGAAGCAGTGAAGGCTCCGACTGGGCCGAACAAACGAGCGAGACGGGAATAGACGCACTTCGACCGATCCACAAGACGACTGTCACCACCGATTGCTACACCTTTTGCGTTGCTGTCTTTCTTTGAGTGACGTTCGAACTTTCTGGATTTGGAAGAGATCGTGTTATCTCTTTCGGAGTAACTCTCCAAACGGCCCCCTTTATGCAATATGCAACTCCATTTGGTTGATTCTCATTTGTTCACATATCTTTTACTCCCCAAACCTCAAAAACATTTAAAAAGCCCGATTTAAAGTCTCAAAAAAGTGCTCCTGTATTGCCACTATTTTCTTGATCTTTTGTTTTTTGTACGCTCTGCTATGTGTGTGACAATTCAACTTTATACATTCATTAGCCCCCTACCTTTGAGACTTGATAGTTGAGAGGTTTATGTCTATGTAGACGCTGATCACAGATGAGGTATAAGAGATGGCAACGTGCATTGTTGATAGACATGTTCGGCAGAAAAGCAAGTACCGCGCCATTATCACTAGACAAAACAAAGATGCCATGAGGACATTTTGGTAAAATAGAATCAAAGGTGGGATGCCTAATTGATTTCGCAATTATATTTGTGTTGACGTCGGCTTCATGTGTCTTTGTGCCAAGTGCCTGCTCAATTTCGCGACCCGCATTTTATGGAGGCTGCTCTTGAGCTGAGAGGACTTGAGGGTGTCAGTAGCGTGATATTCCAGGCATATCAACAGCACATGCCGTACTGGCTATTCATCGAAGAATGGATTCCCAGTTAGAACTACAAGTCGGCGCAATAGCTATTCTCGAAACATACCGCTCGATGCCGTCCAATCTGATGAATTGCCCAACTAAACTCCATATGCTCCGCTGTGGTAAACTTTAGGCAGCACGGTGGCGAGTTTCTGCGACTGACCATTACGCATTGGTAGTTATCTGCTGAAGCTATATTCTGTGCCTGGACGCAGCGTCAGACTTGGCACATTATGCAACATCTTCTGCGGTAGAGCGATTGCATTGCAACAGATGCTGTAGACGTACAGTTTGCCGGAGCAATGATAATGTTCTAATACCGCTGAAAGAATCATAATGCCTACTACAACAGGTGGGGAAAAAGAATGTAGAGTACAAACAACAACGGTCAAAGCAAACACGGCACAAGATACAGAAATCGGTTCAGATGTGAGGGGGACAACACGACGATACGTGGGGTTTCATTGCGAATTTAATGATACTAAAGCATCTGCGACGATCTCCCGACATAGCGCAGAGCAAAGACTGTGCGGATTACAATAGCTACGGAATGAAATTCGCCAAGCTTCAAAGCTTTCCCGCCTTCCGTATACAGAAGGTCTCTTATTTCGGGCCATCGCAATCTACGATGGAGTAATCTGTAACCTGCAGGAACACGACGTCAATGCCAATACATCAGCGAGGGCGCGTAGTAACATACCGTGACAATGAAGCGCCGCGTTTCCTCATCTCTCCCGACCAAATTACCGTGCATCCACATTGTCAATCCAGGAATAAACGTCTTCCATTCATAGGGCAGTGGGGTTTGGTGTTCAAAGTGATAATCGATAGCAAAATCCGACGTTTGCTGGCGCTGCGGATGTTGGAGATGAGAAGAACGTCGTGAGCTACGCCAAAGGCAACAGACAGGAGTTTAACGTACTACCGGGTCCCGGTATTCATGTGTAGCGGTGATAATCATATTCCACGGCAGAAAAGCATCGTCACGTGCAACAAAGAGTACTGAAGCCGAACGGCAGATTCCATTGACCGTAGCTCTACCAGCCAGGATGACATACGTCTCTCTAAAGACGCCGATATCGACTTGCGAAGAGGAGCAATGTTGCACGAACGCGGCGTCTGTCTCTATGTCATGTCCAAAGCGTCCATTGAGACTGTACGAATGGGAACATTTGAGCGCATCTTTTGGTGAAACGTAGCCAAGGGCCGTAATGGGGTGCGGAACAGTGTGACCGTCAGAATCGGTAATCATCAGCTCGGCAGCAGTTCGATGCCAACGGAGGAATCCCTGTGTTACTGCTATAGCCTAGAGTGGAGGTCAGCCTATGCAGAAAAATGATGAGTTTTCGACGTACATTCTCAGTGACGGGCAGTGTCGCCGACATCATTAAAGGGTATGACGTCATCTTAAGGCAACCAATGTATCACGTTATAAACAATTGGGGTAATGAAAAGAAGTGAGCTGGATCAGTTTTCAAAGCAAGGCACGCTGATATTCAGAACCAGAGATACTACCTTTATAATCTCACACGGTGACTGCGGTGTATGACTCCGCAGTGTGAGGCGGACGAACACTTCTCACCCTGTTGCGGATCCAGCTGAAACACAATCCTAGGGCGGTGGTCTCGATCATGTTGCTAACGCTGAGGCAGCGCGGTGGCATTGTCGGGGTCCCTATGGACCATTGAATATTCAAGACGCTGCCAAGTTATCAACAAGACACTAGACCAAACGAATGTTGTCTAGGTTGCGGCGACGGCAGTTGAACCCTGTAGGGAGCTATTATGCATGATATCAGCGCGGAGCAAATGATACGGAGTGATCTTTTCAAATGCCCTGAGGGTTCAACGTGGGTCCATGTAATACAACACCCTAATTTGGAGATGACGCCGAAGGATCAATTAAGCCAGTGAAACGTGATGTCAAGGAACTTTTGCTCAATGGCCACGCCGTCCCAACTTCGCGCTTCGACGTACCCCTAGAGATCCACAGGTTCAATAAACCATTGGCACTCTCGATGGTATAAATAGTGCCAAAGCAATATGCCAATCCTGGAATGACAGAGACGCATTGCATCGCTTCACATTGTTACGTCCAGTCTTTTTACCATTCTCATTTTTCACACACCTGCTATCCTTTGTGCGTTTTGACTATACTCTGTCTCTTCCACATCTCGCGATATAAGTGATATTTCTCTACCATGGCGTCTGCGATCGTAATCCATCCTATCCAAGCGCAATTCACCGGGCGTATAGGAAATGAGGTGAATCCATTCAGCATCCAATGAGGCTGTTTTGCTGATCGTCTTTCGCCGATTTCAGATTCGCAACCTCCGGCAAAACGACAGCGGCTTCACAACATTCAGCGCAAAGATATCCATACCTGGCGCGACAAAGAATGCTGCAGCGATCGTTGACGTGGAATTGACGACACTATTGAAATATAACATTGACATGAATGTGGGTGATCTTTACACGATCAGTTGTAAATTCATTGCCTCCAATACGCCACGCAACGATACTCTGCACTTCTGCAAAGACAGTTGCGTCAAGTTGCTCAGCGCAGAAGAAAGCGGATCGACTTTCGACAACAATGCAATGGGCAGAATCAGTATGGTAGCCTTAGGTACCGTCGTTGCGAAAGAAATTCTACCAAACCCAGAAAACGAGTCTGAGGTCTCGGTCGTGCTGACAGTGAAAGCGGTGGATATTGATCCAGTCGTTAGTCATTTCTTCCCCATACACATAGCATTGAGAACTTACACTGTGCCACGATCAGAGTCGAAGCCCGGTCACATGGATCAGTAGGCATTATGTTGGAACGGTCTCCGGCACGACGACACTCGACCAAGATTGCGCAATCGGAACCGAAGTTGAATTAGCTGGGATGGTCATAGGCTATGACCCAGCCACCTTCACGTGGATATTGAAGGTACATAAAATATTTTAAACTGCCATATTTTGCAGCGTTTCTGACATCATTCAATATAGGCGTACTCAATGACGGTATTCGGCGCCACCATTCCCACTGGGGTCCCTGCATGGAAACAAACGGCGACAGAGACCGCCACGTTAGTATTGCTGTCATCAAAGCAAATCGAGAAGATGATAGGAATTTCTGCACTGACCAAAGTTCTGAATGACAGCGTTGACCGGTTCCAAAAGTTCAATGGATCTGCGCGCCGTCGTTGCCAGCCTCGCTGCTGTCGTCATATGAATGCGCGCCAGAGCAAAATTCGCAACAGATTTGCCGCATGGATGGCTTGCAATCGAATGAAACTGACGTCAGGTAAAGCCGTGGTACGAAGAAGCTCCATGATCTGAAGCATCGGGGTTGGAGAATCCACGGAAGTTGATGTGAACTGGGTGTGGATCGTTGTGTATGACCTCACTGTATACATGTTTCCCTTTGTAGCAGTCGATCTGAATTTCGTGTATCCAGCGAGACATTGAAGAACTGTTTGCGCGGAGGTTACTCTGTTTTGTTGTACATCTTGGCATTGCACTCTGTAACTTGCGCCCGCTGACCGCAATCCACACTATCCGGTTTTGTAGTCAGCCTTGCTCATTCGCGCCTCGCAGCATTGAACATTTGTTCGTGTCACATTGCGACTATGAGATTAGCACATGATTCGCGTCTCGCAGCATTCAACATACGTCGGTGTCACATTGGGAAAATCAGTACATAACCGGACAGTATGTTGACGCCAGTTCTGTGACACCTCATGCGAATAGATCATTGGAAGGCACAAAATTGTCAATATCGATGGGTTAGGATAGTGGAACTACCGACATTGATGAGAAGCATAAAAGGGGTCTCGGTAACGTACATGCTTGGTCTCGCCCCTAGCGTACTGCCATAGAATAAAGCTCCAACAGCTGAATCATGATACTGAGACTCACTTCCTATCGTGATTGATGTTTAAGCTGCGACTCAATAACATCGGTGTGATACCACTGTTCGAGATGCGCGTCGCCGTAGCGAGGCGCGGCTCCATGCTGCCACGGTCGATGGAGTCGTCGACAGAAGATTACGACGGAATGAGAGGATTGCACAATGGGGAGCGGTCATTGTCAAGGGTTCAGAATGGTTGCGGCAGCGAGCAATGCACCCACAGTCCTCAATGTCACCGAAACGAGCATGAACTCGCAATAAGGGCTTTGGCTTCCGCACTCGCAGCAGAAGGCTCAGTGCTTCACAATGTCGCAACTGTCCTCTACTCTCCAGTTTGGTTACGAAACTAGAATGGGTCCTGCCGAATTCGTGTTGGGAAGACCCTGCCATTTTGAGAATACCAGCTTAAGCTTCCGCGTCATTAGGTGAGTGTTCCGTATGATATAAGAATGATACGATTATCAGTAACATTGGATAGTCTTCATCGATGATTTTGGACCCATTTTTACGAGCATCTGTGGAATCAAATCAGAAAAAGCTGCGACTTCACACGGGATAAGTTATGCCTTGCATAGCAGTCAGGCGCACGAAAGAGAACCACGAAACGATACTTCTGAAAAAATTCAAAAACGAGATCCCTTACAACATAGGGGAGTGTAACAATATTTGCGAACACTGCGGGGCAGCTCATTGGCTGAAGGAAAAGGTGGCTGCAAAGGGTATCACATCTCCAGCCCACTATTCAATGTGTTGTCGCGGTGGCCAGGTCGAGCTGCCTCAGCACTATTTCAATTTCCCACCAGTCCCCGAATTTCTGCAAGATTTGTTAACGGAGGATGATGCAGGTAAATCAGATCTTCCCTATCTGGCTATGAGAAGCTGACGTTTTGCATAGTGAGTCGGCGGTTTAGAGATAACATTCGGGCCTATAATAATGGATTGAGCTTTACCTCTCTGGGAACCGAGATTGATCATTCGGTTAATGGGCCGTACGGCGTCCGATGCTTCAAAATGAAAGGCCAATTAGTACACAAAATGGGCACCATTCTTCCAGCTGATGGCAAGGAGGCCGCTTTCGCACAAATATATGTGATGGGCCCTGAATTGGAAGACGAGGCGGGTCACCGCGTTAACATGACGGGTGTGGAAGGACTTGACGTTAATATAATGAAAGCATTGCAGGATTTTATGGACGAATATAATCCTTACGCAAAACAGTTCCGGTCAGCGTACAAAATATGGAAGCGGGACGATACGGTGACAATCAGATTGAAAACGATCCCACCTACAGCTCATATGACGGCAAACCACGACATTCAAACGTATGCGCGTCCTTTGACTTCAGAGGTGGCAATGGTCGTCGGCAACGACAGTGATATTGGCGGTGGCGAGAGAGATATCATTCTCACTTCAAATGAGCGCGGTTGGGAAAGAATCTCTGACCTTCACACAGGATATCTACCCCTACGTTATCCAGTTTTATTCCCCTATGGTCAAGCTGGATACGACAGTTACTATTGGGTTCCCAGTGAAAACAGTGAGTTTTGTTGACCTAACGTATAAAGGAGGAAAACTGATTTGGTGCTACAGATGATGGAGCTACAGTTTCTTCTCTGGCGTGGTTTGCTTACCTATTGTTCCGTCGAGAGGGAGAATTCCCGAACATTTTGGCGTCGCGGTTGCTGTTTCAAGAATTTTGCACCGATATGTATGCTTGCGTCGAACATAGCCACATGATGTACTTTCGGACGCATCAAGAAGAAATTAGGTCAGAATTGTACACTGGGGCGGTTGAAGCATTGGGGCGGAATGATTTTACCATTGGGCGGCGTGTTATACTGCCGGCCTCCCATATCGGTAGTCCTAGAGCAATGGTGCAATTATACCACGACGCAATGGCCTTGGTACGACACTTCGGCCAACCGAGTTTTTTTATTACCATGACGGCAAACGACTTTTGGCCTGAAATCCAGGCAGAACTGCAATACGGCCAATCAGCAACGGATCGTCCAGACATCATGACAAGAGTGTTCGAAATGAGGTTGGCCGAATTGTTGAGGGATGTTAACAAAATGGGACAACTTGGTGATTGTATCTCGCACCTCTCGACGATTGAATTCCAGAACAGAGGAAGACCTCACTGCCATTTTATCCCTATCATGACGCGGGAATCAACGCCTCGGACCCCAGACGCTGTAGATCTTATCGTACGGGCGGAAATACCAGATAAGGAAACGGAGCCTCTGCTGTATGAGGTGGTAACGAAGTTCATGTTGCACGGGCCGTGCAAAAGTGGTAGCGCATGTTGGATTGACGGCGCCTGTCGTTTCAATTATCCGAAAGACTTTGCGGAGACGACAGTGATGACGGATGACACTTATCCAACGTACCAACGGCGCGACAACGGTGTGACCTGCGTGAAGAACAGGTATACCTATACTAATCGTGATGTGGCGCCGTACAATGCGTATCTTTTATTGAAATATAACTGTCATATCAACGTTGAAGTCGCGGTTAGCTTCAATGCTTTGAAGTACCTATACAAGTACATAACAAAAGGACACGACCGTGCGGCATTGTCCTTGGTTGCGGAGAATGAATTGGATACCTTTGTAGATGGGAGAAGTTTGACGGGTACGGAAGGTACGAAGAATGATTTAATCTTTTATGCGGACCTTAATAACACGTTTTTGTCTCCAGCGTGCTGGCGACTATTTCAATTCGTCATGTCGACGCGGTATCCAGCTGTGCAACGATTGATCCTACATATGCCAGGACAAAATCCATTATACTTCACGACGAACGCTGCGCTGAGGCGGCAAATCGAGTCTGGTTGAGCCGAAAGAACGATGTTAACCGAGTTTTTCCGACTCTGCGACGAAGACTACATAATCCACAAAGAAAAGAATGCGAATATCATCGCAGTTGGCGCGAAGAAAGTAGAAATCGCAGTTTGCAGCCTGAGATATCCGCAGATGGTAGAATTTTTTGGTTGGAAAAAGACTACGAACACCTGGAAAGAGAGGACAAATAAGTCGAAGACGATCCCCCGAATATTTTTTGCTTGCATGTCACAAGGTGACAGGTATTTCCTTTGCCTTTTGTTGTTCAACGTCGCGGGACCAAGATCGTTTGAAGACCTCAGGACGGTAGAAGGCGTTTTGTACGAAACATTTAACCAGGCGGCCGCTGCTCGCGGTTTATTGCTGAATGACGACCACTACGAGGCGACTTTAAAGGAATGCGCTCTGACTCATGGGGGTTTCCAACTGCAATCAATGTTCTGCCTTATATTAAAACACAGCCCGCCAAGTGATCCGTACCGGCTGTGGCAATTGTTTCAAAAAGAGTTGTCAGACGACTGCGCGTATGCAATAAAGAAGGTTGACAGAGACTCTGAGCCTACAGCTGAAATGATCACATGCTTGGGCCTCTACCGTTTGGGGGTAGCTTTAGAAGAAGTCGGTCTCACATTAGGGGATGTGTCATTGCCGAAGCCAGATTTGTCGTTATTGGCGGGTTATGGAACATTGGTTGGGGGATCAGATGACGATCTCTTCACTCCGGAGGCAAGCATGTCTTATTTAGAAGTCTGCGTCAAAAAGATGAACAAGGAGCAACGTGTGATTTTCTGCGCTTTTAAGGATGCTGTTGTCAATAACTTGGGGGAATTGTTTTATTTGGATGGCCCCGGCGGGACAGGCAAAACTTTTGTACTGAATGTGATCCTACATTATTGTAATGCTCTGGAAAGAACGGCGGTGGCGGTGGCATCTTCGGGGATCGCGGCGTTACTATTGTACAGAGGCACTACGGCCCATTCCGGATTGAAAATCCCATTGAATGCTGATGAAGACTCAAGGTGTAGGTTGACGGAGAGGAACACAGCGGGCGTGAGGATGATGCAGCGTGAAGTTTTGATCTGGGACGAAGTGGCAATGCAGAACAAATACGACATTCAGTGCGTGGACCAATCATTACGTGAATTACGAGGCGTCAATTCCCCATTTGGCGGCATCAATGTCCTCTTTTCTGGAGACTTCCGCCAGACACTGCCTGTCATCCCGCGTTCGACGATTGCACAGCAGGCGGCGGCGTCGTTCAAGCGTTCGTATTTGTGGCCGTTGGTCAATCAGTTTGCGTTAGTGACAAATGTGCGGTTGATGGGTAACGAGGACGAGCGTACAGAAAGACACGATCAGCAACAGAGATATGCGGATTGGTTACTTAAGCTGGGATCTGGAGAACTGCAGGACGCAACGGATGCGATGGTCGATGTGGCAGCGGTCGATGTTCATTGTGTTCCTCCGACGGCTCTGTTCTCAAAGGAATTGGCCAACACCCTCTACAGTGACGCCGCGGCTATGGCATTGAGGAAGGATTGGAGGCGTTTGGCTGAATATTATGCGGAAAGGTGCATCATCACTCCTCTCAACAAATCAGGGACATCGATCAACGGGGATCTGCTTGAGATGATTGAGGGAGAAGACTTTATTGCCGAATCCATAGATGAGAACGATCCCTCCACGACATGCGAACCTCTGACGCCGGAAACGCTGAACGCATTGAACGTTGCCAATTTTCCTTCTCACTCGATGCGGCTCAAGCCAGGAATGCCTATTATTTTATTACGTAATCTCAATTTAAAGCAAGGATTATGTAATGGAACGAGGTTATTGATAACTCACGTCAAGAAAACTTTTTTGACATGCCACATTATGAACGGTCCTAAGCAAGGAATAGAAGTGATGGTACCCCGTATCACGTTGCATCACGATGGCGACCATAACTGTCCTCTAGCGTTCTATAGATTTCAGTATCCTATTGCCGCGGCATTTGCGATGACTATAAACAAATCACAAGGGCAGAGTTTGAAGGAATTTACGATATTCTTACCAAGTCCTGTCTTTTCGCATGGACAGCTTTATGTCGCGTTGGCGCGGTGCACGTCGGTCGACAAAATCGCATTGTGTATGTCGAAAGAAACATTTACAAGACAAACACGGAACATCGTATTTAAGGCTATCTTAGTTGAATGACTCAGCAGTGACTTAATGTTATTTAGAATGTCTACAAAGTATGGTGAGCAGCTTGAGCTGAGGGAATGCATTGTAGCGTCTGATCAGTATTTGAGTGCTTATACCGTGAAAGTGGACGTCCGTGAAGTGTAGACCTGGGAATTGTAGATACGTTAAGTAGTTCGTGGTGATGTATAGAGCGCAAAGGAGAAAGCATTCTAATATCATGCGCGCCTTCAGGCTGCATTTTCCGGGCTTCCTTCTGCGGCTGAGCTGTGTGCAGGATATTGAAATATCGGAATGATGCCGTTGTAGATGATTTATGCTTCAGCAAAGAGCTGAATATCATACAGATGAAACATGACTAAGAACTGCATTGCACGGTACAAGGGTCAACATCCGTTGAGTTCACTGAGAGAGAACACGCCATACAACTAGGTTTAGACATTGACGTAGCATGGAGGAAGCACAATTCGTTGATGTTGTGAAAGTGTGAAACCGTGGTCTCAGGTTCGCAGCGACGCTATGTCAAACATGAATTGCTCAGTATCTGCATCATCTTGGAACGTTTAGCAATTGGATTGGACTGTGACTAATAGGACATGAGGAGGTCCCCGTCGTTGATGTTTGATATTGACGTAGAAGTGAGTAGACCCGTTGGTGGAGACTAACTGATACGAGTTGTTTCTGGGATTATTTGCAACAGGTGGCTCTACGACCGTGACAGTGCATGGTCCGATGTTGTTATACTGGCAATGGCAGTACAAAATTGTAAGTAATGCTATCTCGGAAGAATGGAGACGGAGCACATACCGACGGCTGATGCGTTTCGTTCATCTATGCTGTAATGATATCAGTTTTGGTTCGCGGAATGGGGATTGCAAGCTGTGGTTGTCTGGGTGTATTGCAATGGTAGGTGCAGGCAATTTCGCAATTCGATTGTGGGTGGGAAGAATGCGGCTTCGAAGCAGAACGAGTGCTTATAAATCTCTACAGTGGTTGGGTTGCGATTGATATACTGATGTTGTATAAGCCGCACGTATCCGCGGCGCGGCAATGGGTGTGCAAGGAATGCATTAATGAACGATTCACGAGGCAGTAGGAAGACTGACAGAATGAAACCAACGGTTGTCAACGCCGAGGAGGGGCCTGAGAGAGGCAGTGGATTTGCGAAAACGACATCAATTAACAGCGGTGTAGATGACGTGGAGGTGGTAGCCGTGGCGTTGCTCGCGCTCGAAGGTTCATCGCAATGGGGCCTTACGTCGGCGAGGGGGTGTTAGGGTCGACACATGGCTCAAGGGTCCGGCGTGCTGCCGTCGCGACTACCAAGAACAATGTCGAGGTTCACGTATTGGCGTGCAGGGCTGGATAAGCAACATAGAAAAGCGGACGGAGTATTTAGAGCGGGACTGACCATCATATGAGGAGTGCTGCATCATCTATAACACGAGACCGGTGGAACGTAACTTTTGTCACTGTCTGATTCCTTCATAAATATCACCTCAGTTAGCAGCATGGAGAACGGAGAAGGCACTGAAAGACTACCTATGAGGCACGCTGGCATCTTCCGCGTCATGGATACTGTCAGTTGGTCATCTCGAATTTGATCAACCATGGAGAATGGCGTTGCTGACGTTGCGTTTATAACACTTTGTTGCTCCATTAGGATATATGGCGTGGCGAGGATTTCGAAGCGGTGGATTATACTCCGACGACGATGGTGATGAATAAAGATTTCGATTGCGCCGAGGTAAAAGTCTTGAAATCCTCCATTGGGAATTGCTTGCAGGCACGTCGTAGCTACATGATCGAAGGTCCTGTGGTGACAAAGGGCGGAGGCGAATGTGTCATTTTTCCAGACGAGAGAAACGTGGCTGAAGTCGTGTTAGTAGACAACACAACATGTGCGAATCCGAAGAGGGTCATCGTCTCAGCGCGGGGTGAAATCTTTGATCGCATAGATCGTTGGTCTTTCAATGACGTGTTAGTGTTTGCGAGGCATCGGGAGTGGGACAAAGTGGTCAGTGTTTTGGATTTGGGGATTGATCTGATACTGACAGTGTTGCCCTTCAGGATGAGCAATGGGTCGAATTCAATGGCATGTATGCCTGCCGTAGAGGGACAATTGCGGACGGCGACGAGACAGTGCTTCGTGTTGGCAACGTCATGGATTTCATGGGGAAGATCAAAGGTTTCAATGACCCCATGAACGCGTGGTACATTGAGGTCAGCTGTTCGTAAAAATGAGCCGGGGCAAGGGAATACTGATGATGTATGGTCCATTCAGGTGACTGAAGTTTTGTTGGTTCGAGGAGTGCAACGGGTTGTCGGTCGGTAAAGGAATGTCGTGTAATCATGAATATAGCTTTGTGTTGCTGAGTAAGAGGGAGATTAGATTGCGAAGTTCGACGGCAGGGAGTTATAGGCGGGAGAACGTGAAATGTGGAGGATGTGCATGTTGTGGTGCATTGGTGCGGTCTTTCGGGCATGATGGTGAAGCGCTGCGTCACGTTCGGCAAAGGAGCTGGGTGTGACGTGCATGTGTAGTTAAGACGCGCGTACATGTAACAGTATTTTTCAAGAATATAGGGATGTGCGTTGTGTTGTAATACATTTTGCATGATAAGTATTATGACAACATGGGCAACCCGTTGACGATGGGGGCGGCCCGCCGCCCCTGATGTTCTAGTTCTTCATAGTAGAATTTATGGATTTTCTATCACCATCTTTATGGCGTCAAATTTTTTCCTTGTGTACTTCTGTACATCCAGGAAATTTTTCACAGCTGCCTTGAATCTTTTCCTTTAGTACTTCTGTACACCTAGGGAATCATTCACACCAGAAAATCCAACATACTTCCTACTTCAAAATTGTTTTCAGATAGTCTGACTTTTATCCTTTGAATCATTATGCTGACATCAGATAACCTTTCATTTACAGATGGGAAAGAACTCTTCTCAGCTTGATTCTTTAGCCCCAAAGCAGGCTGAGAAGCGCCTAAGAAAGAAAGAACAACATAACCAGCTTTGCAGGGCCATTGTCCAAGAGCAACACGGTACCCCAAGTACAGCCAAAGTCCTTCGTATCCATCCTAACCGTCCTGATCTCCAAGAACGTATTATTGATCATGGTCATGTTATCCTTGTTGATGCACTCACCAGGGAATTCATTACATCTATTTATACACTTCACAACAATGACAACACCAACAAGCATCTCAGAGCCAAATTTGATTGGGCTGTACAAATCTTATATCATCATGGCCTTGCACATAAGCAGTGTGATATCAATAAAGCCCAAGAAGCTTTAGGTGATGCAAAGAGTGGTGAGATGTATCCTACCGGCTCTCGTGGTGGGACAGATAAAGGAAAGTCTGGTGGTAAGCTGATTTATCTTGAATCCTTTTATACCTTACTAAATTTGTGCTCTTTCAGGTCCATATGTATTAAATGAGTGGACTTGGAGCAATCCCCAGCTCATCAAGCAAGACATTGACCGCGTGAAACTTATGCCTTCCATTGAAAAATTTATCTCAGAACTCTTTTTGTATCTTGTTCTCTCTGAATTCAAAGCAAACCTCAAGCTTGCACAAGAGTAGGGTATCTCCTCGGCATCTCCAACTTTCTTCAATACACTTGACCAATCCAGCTGTGGTGCCAACCTTGTAATCACTTGAGACAAATTTGCCAATGAATCACATTCAGACCCCCATGCATCTGGATGTGCTATTGGACTTTTTTGTCTCATGGAACGTGATTCAGGTAGAGTCATATACCCCAAAGTAGCCAGCTCATCTCCACCATACCACATCAAGGGAGCTTAATTTCATCTCAACAACTACAACACAAAAATATGTTTAAGCCACCACCCCAAAGTGGTTGTGTGGAATACAAAGATGCATCATCATAGCTCACATTCTCAAACTTTTCATTCCTCTGGAAAACCAGTGACACCCAAAAAGACCAATTGGACTAATTTTGGCTCTTCAATTCAAGTCTCACAAACCATTGTTGATTGAATTTGGTGTATGCGCAAGAAACAAGCTGGTACGAGCAATAAGAGTTGGAATGATTCCAAAATTAAGTGTGTAAACAACTATGAAGATTAGATCAATAAAAGGTTGACTGCTCTCAAGGTCAAGAAAAAGCTCAACCCTCTTATTGAAGCGCAGATACAGGCTAGTCTTGCTAGTCTTTGGCGCTTATAATCAAAGAGGATCTCTTATTTTTCCTTTTCATTATGTTTGAACCACATGTATTCCACTTCATATTGATATCATTGCATTTCAATCCAACATCAATTGACTTATACACTTTGCCTCTTTTAAATTTTGTTTCCTTTTTATTTTTGAATTCTCGATTTGTTTGTATCTGTCAAATAATCAAGGCCAGAGTCATTGTCTAGTCTCTACGTGAGATCCACAAGAATTGGGCATTGGCCTGCAACCACAGGTGTATATTAGTCTTTGGAGCTGCAGATCTCTCAAGCTACATCACTCCCTCACCATGTCCGTCCTGTATGAGTATGTTGACGTGCTCACACAAAACACATCTTGTAGAAGGTTGTTAAACCCTTCAAAGATGTCATTCAAAAATTGGACCAACCACCCTTTGTCTAAGTGAGACGTTGATCAGACATAGGCGGTCTGATCAAGTTGCTTCAACTCTGTTTCTGACAACAGTGATGCCAAACGGTACGAATTACGGAATGCAGTGTTTTTTCAGTTTTAGGGCAACAAGGGAGAGCAAACATTCAGGAGAGTGATACAAGAGCGTAGAATATCTTGTATCTTGGGTTCAATGCTCAAAAGCTTTTGTCATGATCTCTTGTCCCACTGAGACAGTGTCCAAGTCTCAAAGGGGAGGCCAAAATGGCCCGCCGTTGGAAAAGAAAGGGGCTATAGTATGAAGACTTTCTTTCAAAATCTGACAGACAATCAACAAACGGTAGGTTTTTGATTGCCTCTTAACAAAGGATTCACGTTTTCTACAGATGAAACTAAATGAAAACTTGTTCAAATTTTTCACACAACTCTCCGTGTGAGCACGTTGACGTGCTCATGGGGGACGGACATGGTGCCTGTTTATCTCTCCATGAATGGGAAATGTTGAGCAGCAGATCTTTTAAGTAACATCACTCTCTGTTTATCCTTTTTCTACTACTAATACTAGTAAAAACTTCAACCCAAATCCCTGGAAAAGCCTTTCTTTAAAGGTCCACTAACTGCAGCCTATACTTGTTTGGTACAAGTATAGAACTAGAATCTCAATTATCCGCCTTTAAACCTTGTAGATCATAATCCTTACAAGTCTATACACCTTCTTTAGTGATCATACTAGCCTTAAAGAAGCTAGTAGCTCACATCCACAGCCACAATGATTGCACTCACGGTTGGTTTAATCCTTCAATTGAGGAACCATCCGTCTGACATTACTACATATCAAGGATATTATCCTGACTTATCTCATGGCAGAGGATAACCACAGTATTATCAAAATGTCTTGTAGATATTGGTCCGGACCAACAGGATGGCCATCAACTCCGATCTTACTTACGGCTATTCAAAAGCTTCTTTTCAAAAATACATATGGTAGAAATGCATGGAAAATGTTCATTCTTTCAGAGATCTGTATATATGTTCATTATTCAAGAGATCTTTGTAGCACTTTACAATTATTGACACATGGTGCTGATGATGTTCAAAATTGTCTTAACTATAGGCCAAGTATATCACGTTGGAACTGAAGTGTCGTGTTGCTGGTGAGGCCAGTTGATTTGGGATCAATTCGGTAATCAAGTAAAGTGGAAGATTACATATATACTTGTTTTTTTAGCTACAAATGTGCAATTGATTTGCTGCTAGTCTCCCAATGAGGTGGATGTTTGACAAATGCCTTTTTCCCTATTTCCAGCTGAAAAGTGAAGATGTGAAACAAGTCATTCTCATGATGTGAAAAAGGTGCAGACTGGTGTTGCAATCATTCAAAAAAATGCTCAAGCAAGGAGCTGACCTCAGTCAAAAGCAACACATATGATCCAAAACACTTGTTTGGGACCCAGTCCTTGTGATCATAACAGAGAACCTTTGAATCTTGTCCAGGGAAATCCCAACAAACATCGATTTGTAGAGGGTGTGTTTTATTTGACTTGCTATTATTTATGTGGTTATCTGTAATCCTTACATATAAGCAACCACCCTGACTTCCTCCTAAACTATTACATAGTTAAGAAGGGTGTCGGGTTGGGATGGCGGCCCCGGCCGGCCTGGTTTTGCGTGGGTGAGAAAAACTATTTCTTACCCTTGCACAAGTCAGGTTCCGTTTGTTAAGCAGGAGCGCAGGGAGTTCTCAGGCACACTCATCAACACCCATCTTGTTGTGCTCTCAGCATGGCGAGGGTTCCTAAAACTTGCTGTAGGGACGGCTGAAAAACTTCTTCTCTATTTCCTGTTACTTTTAACTCACCTTGTCGTAACTTCCCCATCCTTTGAACAGGATCTGTGTGGGGCGCAAACTTTGTTTGATAGTGAACTTTTAAGGTTCTCTGGTTGAGCTACCTAACACATGTTATGAACAACTGTATTCTTTATAACTCCAGGCACGGAAAGTCAAAATCTTTGATTATAATTCCTTTTGGATTCAATCCCCCCCAATCATGTTTCTCTTGACTATTAATGTTCTCCCGGTTCTTTTCTCAACCTTTGTCGTTATGTCGTTTCTCTCCCTGTGGTGTAGGTCACGACTGAGTTCATTGCGACTAAAAGGGATGTACTTTCTTGGTCATCACTCACCTTTTCCTTCATTTCCTTTATCCCACCGGTCTATCGCCCCTAACAGATCTTTTGCTTCCTTGAGCTCCCCCTTGTTGTACTGTTTGAGGTATACGTTGACTGCGCTGGACCTCCATTCACAGCCCCCAATCACAAGTCACTGGCAGGCCAGTGCCTCCCACCGACCCTAGCAAGTTATGAGAAAGTTATGAGAAAGTTATGAAATGGATATCAAATGGATAACATCCATCAATTGCGAATTTGTTGAGAAGTGGTTGAGATACCACCAAAATTGAGATGATGACATACAGCATCATAAACCTGTACAGACCTGCTCCTGTATCTCCCCACCAAGAATATATAGTTTATTAAGGGCCCGTTCGCTCCGTTTTCACATATTATGTGCCTGGAAAACAAAATTTTGATCTGCCCCTATATGAAGGGGCAGATCGAGATACTGGTAAATTGGATATCGAGATTACCAAACACATAATCAAAAGAGGTCAACAGACGTCTGTTGACCTCCGTTGATCGAATTGCTGTTCGGTAATCTCGATAATGAGATACCAACTGATGTATTCGAATATCAAACTGAACAATTGTTCCCACTGAAGTCTAAAACGGTCATTAAAGACCACTTCATCCTTTTCGTTCATCTACACCGAGATCCATAGCCATCGACTCGCGATGTCTTTGCGCCGCAGCAAATCGATTCTTCCAATCGAGCACCTTCCTCGATCCGTTTCGAGAGCTCTCGTGGTTCATCACCACTCCCAAAATCAAAAACTTTTACAATTGCAATTCATCAAAAAAGTTCTTGCTACTCAAGAACATCATTTTACCATGTTCTCATATCTGAGCATTGGTACTCAGATCTGTATTCAACAGCTCCTTCCACAACTTTACAAAACACCACGCCTCACTTCCATGCTCAGTGGTCAAGCTTGGATTGATGAACTCATCAATAATCCAAATAATTCAGTTTTCTACGATAATCTTGGCATGCAAAAACATGTATTCTTCGAACTACGCTCAGTTCTTCAACATGCTGGAATTCTTTTTGACTCACGTTTTATCACGGTGACTGAGAAATTAGCTCTCCTACTCTATACTCTCATAACCGGTCTCTCTAATCGCAAACTTCAGAACCGTTTCCAAAGATCTGCTGATAGTATTTCTAAGTCAGTTTTTTTTTTAAAAAAAATTCTATCAATTTCTTCTGACATGTCTTCTTTTTTTTGAATAGAATAATTAATCACCTTGTCAAGGGAATCTCCGATAACGGTGATTTACTCGGAAAATACATTCCTCTTCCCGATGCCAACACACCGCTCCCTGATGATTTCTCTTCAAATCCCAAGTTCATGCCTTACTTTAAAGACTGCATTGGTGCAATTGACGGTACCCATATTCCGGTCACTCCTCCGGCTTCCAAGTTCATTCCTTTCTCTAATAGTAAAGGCTACACTTCTCAAAACGTCCTTGCTGCGTGCAATTTCAACATGGAATTTATTTATTTATTCGTTGGAGCTGAAGGAAGTATGGCTGACGGTGCTCTTTGGAGTTTGGCTCGAAGTCGTGATCTTGCAATTCCAGCTGGGAAGTATTATCTTGGTGATGCTGGCTTTGCTCTCACCGAGACTTGTCTTGTTCCTTTTCGAAAAGTCCGTTATCATTTACGAGAATGGGAAAAGAAAGGTTTCAGGTGAGCTTTCTTTTTTTATCATCCTTTTCATCAATCTCAATCTTTTCTTATTATTTCCCATCTTTTCATCTTAGACCTCAAAATGCAGAAGAACTTTTCAATCTTCGACATGCTAGTGCTCGTAATGTCATTGAGCGTATTTTTGGAGTCTGCAAGAAGCGCTTCAGTATCATGGCTCATGGTTGTCAATATACTATGGAGATTCAAATTTCAATGGTTACTGTTATGTGTTTTATTCATAATTTCATACGTGTGAAAGATCCACAAGGTTCTTCTGAAGAATATCCGCAATTTGGAGATGGATTTATTCCCGACATTCAAGATACAACTCAAACTGTTACTCAAGATC